CTCTCTGCTCCAAAGGACCCACCAGTACCAGTAGTACCAGAGCTGGTGCTTTACTCGCAACGTATAAGCATCACAATACAGCGGGGAATTTAACAGTAGGAAAGTATTTTTTTTATTTGATTTCGGTTTTTTTATGTAACACACAGCTTCCGCTAAGATTTTCTTCATAATTTAAATTAATCTAATATTAAATAAAAGCAATTATTTTTTTAAAGACCAACTTACCACATTTCCTGTGACTAAAATGGATGTACTAGCATAGATAACACTCTTCAAAAGCGTTACAAACACCAGGAACGTCGTCTGAAATTAAGAAACTTAAATAGAATATTTAAAATACTTTATTCAGTATTTAAACTATTGTTTTATTTAATAAGTAGCCACGTCATTCACGTAAAAAATAAAGCCATATACTGTTTTTATAGAAATTAATGGGCATAGTGAAGTTCAAGAGTTATTAACTCTATCGTCAATTGATTTTTTTTACATTATAAAACGACATTCTTTTAGAATCTACAGTATATTTCTAAGGTTCATTGTTTTTATGTGTCAAAAGCACTGTTATCCAAAATTTTAAAAAGCTCTGCAATAATTTTTAAGTAGTTACGTGTACTGGCAAAAATCAAATCGCTTAATAATCTATCCAGTATATAATTAAACATAACATTATTCTGCAAAATTACATTTTTGTGCAGATTACATAAAATTTCCTAGAAATTTTAAAACAAACTTCCTAATCAACTATTTTAATTAGTAGTTACCTGATTACTAAAAGCCTGGGAGAAGCTACCAGCAGCGAGCAACAACCTTTTGTAAATAATCGTTGTGATTTGCGGATTGCTATCCTTTAGTGTCGAGTCAAGTCGGGTATTAAATATTTCAGTTATTATGGAATTGAGACTCAACTCAGTATCTGTCACACAAAATGCCATTGTTCCCATAATTACCACACTGTTTGGTAAATTAATAATTTTCAAACCAATAAAATCTAATAATATAGAAATTATAGAAAAGGCTATCAAGAACATGGTAATCTTGCTAACCACTTTATTTTTATCTCGAAAATTATTTTTACCATCTAACTTTTCAAGAATACGAAAGAAACCCTTATTCTTTGTCACTGAGACACTTAAATAAATTACTACGAATGCGGACAGTCCTTTAACTGAGTAGAAATACCAGACTCTGTTAGTTTTGTATACTTCATCGTAAACTATAAAACTCAACATAAATAAGAGAGATAGCGTGAAAAGTATAAAAGATATGCATTTATATTTAATGTTATTAAACATAAACGATCGGTTGATGCAAAAAATATTCTGAAAAATCACAAAGCATCTTAAGTACGATATTGTTTCATTACTCATTGTTAATCACTAGAAATGTTTAAACAGATTATTGTTATCGAAGATTTTATTATAGTTAAGAACTCACAGCAAACGCGTGCACTTTCGACATGTTCATAGGTATATTAAAAAAAATCAATAGTAAAGTCTCTAGAGGTTGACGATCACGTAACTGAGAAATAAATTTAACGTTTCATACATAAAATAAATCAATACTTTTTAATTAGTCACGATAAAAATTTAGTATATTTGAATCACAATTGAGGCCTTTTAAAACAATAACAATTTTCTTGAGCTTTAGAACTTAATAACTTTAGAGTAGAACCTGTCTAGCAGTATTAGTGTATGGAATTTATATACTGTTAATGGTCGAAGAAAAGGAAACTGGACATAAATTAACTTTAGTTGGTTTAGTTATTCGCCAATTACGACCAAAGAAATATATGTATATTTAAAGGAAATAGTCTCTGCTCGGAATCTGTTACTAATCAATCAATCACTATATTGAGTTTACTCAGTGGAATAACTTGACTAGTTTAACATAAAAACAGTTAAATATTGACGTTTTATCCGTTTGAAAGAAGCAAAAACATTTATATTTTTATTATTATATAGTAAAATAATATATTATCTGATGTTGATGTAATGTTTAATGTATATTTCTTTTTTTGACGTTCATATGTGTACATTGTGTTACCTACATGAATAAACGATTTTTGACTTTTGATGTAAATATACTAAACATCATCAACAAGCCCCTTAACATTAAGCATTAAAATCCCTTTTACAATGAAAATTTATAAATTGTATAGTATAGATTTTTCATAATAGAAATTTATTAAATAGTCTTTGAAACATTGTAGATAATATAATAACACTCGAGTTAAAGCCGGTGAAAATAAATCTCATGAGATGTAACGATAAGTATTATCCCGGGGAATGTATAAGAGTCCTTCCTAGGTAAGTTATTAAAAAATACACACAATTTATGTATTTTTTTAGTAGATCTAGCTTGTTACTACACATTGATAATAATAGCTATTTGATATAAAACATCTCTAAGCTGTCACTCTATTGACATTTTTACATTCCCAAATTTTGTAGTTTTATGTCACTCTCGTAAAATAAGAGGTAATTAAGAATAAAGTACTACGTACCAAGAATAAAAGTGGAGGACATTTTTTATGCGTTATTTCGAACACTGGACCTTCGAATAACAGAAAACCTACCTATATCTCATTATCTAATATATAAAATTCTCGTGTCGCAACTAAAATTATGTCCACAAATTTAAATAAACTACGCAAACATCTAAATCAATTTAAAATATCCTTTATTCATAATATATAACCTTAATGTTTGTTTATGAACGTCATTAAAAAACGATGCTTCTAAATTTACATTTACTGCCAGTTCTCGAATCAAGGGCGTAGAACGGACGATTTGGCAATAAACTCTTTGTCTCTCTATTAAATCGCCAAGATTTCTTTTTTACAAAATGTTTATAAGCAGCTAGTCTTACTTTATTGTTTAACCAAAAAACTAATAATCTAAATCTAGCCTGAATAAAGCAACGATTGAAGAATACTATGAATCAGTCCCCAAGACGAGCGATTTTAAATGTTACAAAGATTTGCGTCGACACTGGAAGAATATTGTATGTACATTCAGATTTATTTTATTTTATATTCTATTGTTGTTCATCTTCTTCAAATTTATTAAATAATTTTATCCTTAAAGATTATGTATAATTAAATACTCTACATAATAATGTGTAAAAAACAGTGGCGGTACCCTTGGTCTTGGCTTGAGTTCTGTATGTGTTTCATGATATGTTTTCCTAATTATCAAGTAGGTGATCCTTCTGTGCCTGACATACGCCGTCGGGTTTAGGGCTTGCTCGTTTCCTCACGCTGTTTTCCTTCACCAGTGTCAAATGCTCACATAGAAAGTCCATTGGTGCACCGCCGAGTTTCCAATCTACGACCTCAAGAATGAGGTCGCACCCTTCAAATTCCTTCGTTTTAGCACTAAAGCAAATTTAGTAAAGAAACTATGTAATAAAATTATCCCTAGCATACTAATATATTATATTTTATACAATATCGATAGCTGCTCAAGTTTTTCATACAAAAATACATCTTTACTACTTTTTTACCGTAACTATTCGATTGTACGTGGTAAGCCTACAGAAACCGAGAATAAATAAAGATATAGATGGTTGGTAGGGTATATCAATGAAGTGCAGCTATTCAGTCACTTCACTATTTTTTTTTATTAATAGCATGGATACCGTTTGCCTGAAGAAGAGCGTCCCTGTTACTCTGTGAGGTTCTGGCGTGGCGAACCATTAACTTATCCAGATATCTGCCTCACTAGGGCATTTCCCATCATCACACCTATGTCTAAATCTGCTGAAGTAAGCATACCTACCAAACCTTTACACCTTATTAATAAAATTCTAATGATAGTTATCACCATGTCATCTACTTCAATCACTTTACTAATAAACGTGACAAATCATTCTTCAAATTTTCATACTATTAGTTTCTAATTTAGACCATTAATTTGTTTGTACATATATCTTTTCAACATCGTAAAACATTTGAAATCTTCTGTATTGTCTATGTTGTTACTTTAATATTTAAAAACTTTCCTACATAGCTTTTACTGAAAGTGCTTCGTGTTTCGTGCTTTTTCAACAGTACAACCTTTTGAGCCTCTAAAAGTATTGACAGACATCTAAGGTTGGAAGGATGAAATGGGTACCATAAAATCGGGACGCGTGATTAAATATGGTCGTTCATCTCGCGGCCTTTTTAATATATAATATATCTTATATAAAATAGGTAGTACACAAAGTAGTTCCAGAGCTGCAAATTTGACCTTTCCAACATGTTCTATTTTGTGTCTAAAATTATTTTGTCTAACTTTTCACAATCAGAGTAAATATTTTATTTTTCAGAAGGCCGTGCTAGAAAACTTTATCAATTGCTTGATGAGTAAAATGTCCTATATGCTTGGATATCCTCTTAATATTAATAGAGAAATTTGTGTACGTACATCAATTTATTTTTTATTATTAATAAACGGCCAGTATACTTAAAGTCCATTCCAAATGGAATCTTATTACATAAGATTATATCTTTCGTAAAGGCAAAATTATTTATTTTGCAGGAACACAATGAAAGTCACGTGGAAACACAAGCAGTGAGTCTTTGCACTCCAACACAACACGGAAAATAACTATAATATATGTGTCCAAATAAAACTATTTATTTAAAATTGATTTTTATTTCGTTATAAATATTTCTTTAGTTATTTTTAATTAAAACGAAATCTTGAACTTATCTCAATACAATAATTGTTAAACATCCTAAATTGCCTAACATAATAACAGAATCATGTCATTGTCAATAATTAATTATAGTTTAATCCCAAAAGCTCATCGGGACATTACGTAGGCATACCGCATAGGCCTTGTTAAGAGAAACAGAATTAATTTATTTAGGAATTATAGCCCCGAGCTACTCGTACTGAGACAACGCAAGTCAAGTGAGAACAACTGCTACAGAGATGGTTTAACCCTACTGGCATACTAGTACGGTATCTAGTCAAACGATTAACTAACAAAATCTCTAAATTATATTATCGTCAATGTGTTGGTGAAAACGTAGGCCTTAAAGGAGATCGAGGGGGAGTCAGACGTTGCGCTGCGATGTTGAAAAAATTGGCAACAGATGGCGACAGATTTCGATGCTGCGGCACTGGAGATCTGCGTACATCCTAAAAAAATTAAGCGTGAAAAATAAACTCAATTTAACTTAATTTACTTAAATTTGAGTTCCAGTAAGTAAGTATTTATTTATAGATTGGGATATCTTTTAACGCCAATTCAGTCAGGACGGTTTTTTAAGGAAACCACATACCGTTCTATGTTGCCTGGAATGTCTAGGCGATGGTAATGACAGCGTAGATGTAACTTGTAGAGAATTGTTTTGAGATGGATTTAATAAATAATTTAATTTATAGCCTTTAGCAAGATCTTCTACAGTTTTTCCTGAAAAGAGAATTTTCGCACACAATTATGATGTAAGAATTCACATATGCAATTTAAACGTTTAGACAAGTATAGGTATATATATATAAAACCGTCATTTCTTATCAAACAAATCGAACGCCGCAACTTTATATTTTGTCATGATTATCAAAAATATTTTATTGCATTTTTATCCAAATTTACATGAAAATATAAAACTTCGCTGATATTCTATAGGACACAATTGATGTTTTGAAAAATGTATAATTTATCTACCCATAGGTATAGGCAACTTGGTAGTTGGTGGTACCTTTACATAGCCCCGTGACTTTGTGTAGGATTAGAATAAAAAAGAACCTGATTCATTATAAAATAACTACACGACTACGAAAAGTTATAACAATGATAATATTTATTATTACCTGTTAATGATGTTGGTATATTAGTGTTACAACGTCCAGTTCTTATTATCTTTTTAAAAGCGTCAGTATTGCCAAAAATAATTGCAACAGCAGCCCCGTCAGCCAATTGAGAGGAGTCACAGCAGGATAACAAAAAGTTCCAATTGTCTAGATCCCAATTTTTGGTTGAATACACAGCTAATTGTAACGTTGAAGCACCTTATCAAAAATATTAGTTTGATATTACGAAATTGCCGAATACTTTACCTACCGCTTGATTAGTTGTAATCTTCAGCGACATTCCGCTGACGCGTTAGAATTCACGCTTTAAAAAAAGCGCTTAGATACTAAAATTAAGCCAAGAAGATATTTATAATTTATGCAAACCAAAAATAACATAACATACTCAGTCGGGCACCTAGCGACAATATCTGGTAAATTGTTCTTAGGTACAATTAATTAAATACAATTATAAGATATTATGTTTCATCTTTTAATAATAATTAGAGGTTGGAACTTAATCATATTTACCGATATAATATTTTAAACTTATATAAGAAATGTTTTTTTAACTTACCAGACTCACTGAGAAGATGTGGATTAGCACCAAATTGTAAAAATAATTTCACTATGTTATAAAATCCTAATCGCGCAGCTAATCGTATGGGCCATCCACCTTCATAATTTGGATCTAAACTATGGCTTAACAAATCTTGAACTTCAGTCTCATTGTTATTTTCAATGCTTTTTCTTAATTTTTCTCTATTTCCTTCCATATTATTGAATTTAAATTATTTTTATCATGCAATAACCTCTGCCTCTTGGTAGAAGTTTCAGTTAATTGTAAAATATATCTTTTTGCTTCTAATTTCGAAGTACCCTCATTATTTGTAAAAAAATAGTTTCTTACGTGTCAACTGCCAATAGTCGTAGTAGTAATAGTCTAGATGGTTATCAAAATCTTAAAGTATCTACCAATGGTAAATTTAATATTTGAATATAAAATTAAAATATATACTTAGTGTATGTTTGGGCCACTTTGTAGACTTTTCCGTTGTGGAAAAATCATTTAAATAAAATAGTTAATATATATATATATATTTAACTGCTTACTGAAGGAAAATTATGTTATTAAGATCGCAAAAATTGCTAGTATTTATTTTTTTACACATTTATATTTACAATTAAATATAATTCGATTTCGTTCCCCGTAGAGACCCTTAGGCTGTGGATTCAAGTGCACAGTTAATTAAAGATTTAAGTAGGCGCCTGGTACATAGTACCGGTGACCCCAGAGCTGGTGCTTTCCTCACTCAATGAATAAGTATCGCAATACGTGGGTAACACTGAAAATGTTTAGAACTGGCCAGTAAGAAACATTGCTAATGAAAACTTTTTGAATTTCAATTTTAGAACTCTTTGGTAACCTAATGTAGTATATTGAATTCATTTGTCGTTTGTTTTTGTGAATTGGCGGCAAATCTAAAACGTACGAAAATACCATAGAATGCCCGTAAAGAAGAATGGGCCCACTACTTTTCTCCGTGGTTCCATCGAATGCGACGATGTAACCACGTGTAGTGTGTTGAGGAACGGAGATTACTTCGAAAACAATAAAAGTATTGGCAACATTCTACATTAAGCCGTTTTTCATTTTCTAAACATTTTCAATGTTACCTAGGTACAGCAAGGTACACTGCAACAGGCCAATCACCAAACTATTTAAATTTGTTTTGATTTTGTAACAATAAAATCATTTTAATTTGAACTTAACTCTTGCCAGTTAAAAGAAGTTAGAATAAAAACAGTTGACACCTAGCTTCAGACAAACTGACAAAGTGTTTCATTATTCATTAATTATTTGAAGTTTGAATATCCCGCCGAAATATGGCATATGCCCGTGAAATTAACTCGGTTGATGTGATAAGTTATTAACTTATTAGTTATAATAACTGATCAAAATCGCAAAGCGACTCAATCAGTTAATACAAAAATTCAATTTTGACATTCATAAGTGTACGCCTATATGATTAGTTAAAGTGACATATCAAAATAATAATTTTATTATATCTTTCAGTGAAATACACTGCTACCGCGTTTTATGTCGATGAAGCGACATCTCTGATCAGAGGTGGATATTATTGATGTACAAAGATGATAGAGTCTGGCTAATGAAAGAAGTAACGTAAGAGCGCGGAAAATTCAAAAAAATGTTGTATGGTATATTTTGTGGATTAAACTTAGGTACTTGATAATTGATTTTATTTTATTATTGAAGTTATACTTCTTTAGGCGCGTTATGAAAAATTGATAAGAGTGAAATTTTACGATGCACGCGCACCGTTACACAAAATTAACAGAATTAAGTTAGTTCTAGGTGGCATGAAAATCGATAATAAGTATGTTCAAGTTGTATATTCTAGTATTTTTACATTTAGAACATGTGTTTCGTAACAGTGCAATTAAACAGTGTGAATATATATATATTATTTGTGTTTTTATTAAATCAATTTCATATACGACGGTGATAGTATTTACTAATAATAATTTTATTGATTAATTTTAATATTTATCGTTAATCACTACTGCATTTTAGTTAACTATATAATGAAAACTAATAAAACTATATTTCTTATAAAACACAACTTTATTCGAAATAATCAAAAACAGAATCCAAAAAATCAATATGGATAGATTCATCAGAGTCATTGCTGTTATCACTGTCTCTCACATTGATTATGAAACTTTCTAAATGTTCATCTGTAGTTCTGTCCCTTTGTTTATATTTATTTTATTTAAGTTCTCATTATTGCATCGACTCCTCCAGAATTCCTGCGAAAGAAACGAAATATTCTATCAAATAAAACAAAGTTTAGGCTATTATACCTGTTAACTATTCGGAAAAAATTTATAATAGAAATAAAAATGAGTAATTGCATGAAGTATCAAGACTTAAACAATCTCTTCATCACCACACGTAAACAATCTTGTTTTTGGTAGAATTCAGCTTCTTTTTCTTCTTTTTTTTCTTGTAATTTGGATATCATGCAGAACAATATCTCTCGAACTCCACTGTTAATAGTTTTACTCATATTTAAACACGTAAATGAAAAAATTAGAACAAAATGAACCAAAACTAATGTTTGACAACAGCCATATTGAGAATTTGACAATGACATTCTGTGTTGCCTTCCGAAAGTTTTCAAATAATTCAATTATCTTCTTTCGTTAGCCAGACTCTATACGCGTGCTTTGAGTTAGGAGCAGCCGAGCGAGCGTATTTTGCTAAGGGCCAGTTTTTTGATCCGTAGTTAAAAAATGGTATAACCTTTTGTTACATTAACTATAGTTAAATGACTAACCAGTAGTTAAATCGTAAATGCGTTTTTCGGTGTCTATTTTAACTATAGTCATACTTAACAATTGGTCAATTTGTTGCCAGTGCAATGAACAATGACATCCCAAAAAAAATAGGTTTTTTTTGTGGGGAACATTTATTTTGTATAAAAGATATATTATTTAAGTTATTATTATCTTTCATCACACGCTACGTCACAGTTATATTTTGTCTTATTGATAATCTTTGAAATTAAAGTTACATCAGTTAAATAAACCGTTTACGTGCCCCGCGTAACATCTGTCTGGGATTATACTATTCAAATGAGAATAAGAATTTTGTCATACCATTGTTTGATATTATTTAATCCAGTTGTGTTTCAAGATTTGCCTTGCTTGAGCGACAGCTCTGATGTCGTCGTAGACATATATATATATTTATATTTACGTATATTTCAATGTCTACAGTCTACACAGATAAGAAACTCGTCTACAATTGTGTTGAACTGGCTCACAGCTGTTGTCACCGGGAGAGTAAATAATAATTAACAGAACGTTACTAGTTACTACCAAATTATTACTCGCAATGGAAAAATGGAAAATAGAATAAAACGTTCGAAACCACTAAAAATATAAAAATGGGCAGGTAAGGCAAATAAAAAGAAGAGGTTGGCGAATAAATAGCAGCAACAACAAGAATTAATTAAATAATAGTGTCATTGTGTTTCAGGCATAAAGATTGGAGAAAAGTTGCTAAACGTGAAAGAAGAAGAAAAATTCGGACCAAAGCTGCTAGGGAACTGGGTGATTGATTTTTATTCATAATTTTTTTGTTTACTAATATGATAAGAATATTCCAAGATGCTGCAATGTGACTGTGATTCATAGCTAATAAATAAGATACTTATTAGTCATCATGTTTTTTTATTGCCTATACTATAGAAAATAAATCTTAATATTCCAGACAGTTTTCCATCTCCTTCATGTAGTGAATATACAAAATGGCTTAATGAACAGGAATTACTGGAAACATATGAGCTAGAACAAATAGAAATTCACAATAAAGAGGAGAATGAAAAGTGGATTGAAGCTGAAATAATAGCAATAAAAAAGTACAGAAAAATTCAGGAAGAAAAAGAAAAGCAAAACCAAATACAATTAGAAAATGAATTAAAAATTAAACAAGTACGTACTTATTTTATTTTTGCTCTCAAACAAAATAATAAGTTGTGTTTTTACTTTTTTCTTTATTCTATTTAATTTTATATCAGGAATTAGAAATAGAAAACCAACGCAAAGCTAAGGAAGCAGAGAGATTACAAGAAATAGAAAAAGAGAACAAAAAAAGACAAGAACAATTTATGTCTAATTTAGAGAAGTTTTTGAGTGGAGATTCTTCAGATCCACCACAAGAATTGCTAATATACCATGAAACAAGACCAAGCACTGAACTATGTCCTTTCTTTATCAAAACTGCTTGCTGTCGTTTTGGTGACCAGTGTTCGAGAAACCACCAATATCCTGGAATTAGTAAAGTCAGTATTCATATGATGATTTAAAATTATATGATGTGATATTGATAATGAATGATTTCTAATTATCAATATTACCTTTTTGATGATGTATTTTAGAATATTAAGTGTACACTGCATTACACATTCCCAATCATTTCAGATACTTTTAGCTACAAATTTCTATATCCATTTTGGCTTGGAGAATGCAAACTATAATGAATATGACACAGATATCATGTTAGAATATGAAGATAGTGAAACACTCAGGGATTATAAAGAATTCTTTTATGATGTTCTACCTGAATTTCAGAAGCATGGCCAAGTTGTAGAATTTAAGGTATTACTACTTTCTTAAATTTTTTATACAATTATATTTGTATCATTTTAATGAGAAAATAATTTTAACTAGTACTATACTATTTTCCAAAAAAAAGTAATTAGACATTCTAATTGTTTTAATTCATATTTTATATTAACTCCCTACCAAAACTTATGGTCTAATAGTAGGGCAACAGGGCATTATTTTTTGCCAAGAGAAAGTTGTAATATTTTATTGTATTACCTGGTAAATCAACCCATATTCTAAAAATAGAGTGTAAAGTAGCTTGTTTTGCTAATAAATTTCAGAACAGTATCAGGTAAGCACCTATTGGCTGTCCAGATCCGGCGTGGAGCAATAGAGTATCCTTTAAATTTCCAAAAAAATCTTATCTTGTTCAACTATTATTTATTCAAATGAATAATACATCGAAGACGCTTTTCTTAAAGCCGACGACGAATATTGAACATTTAATTTTGCGGTCATTTGAAGGGAAAGGCTAAATTAGCCTCAAGAAGCTTTGTGTGCTCAGCAAAGCAAGACGGTACTTTACGCCGTTTGCAACTGTATAAAGCGCAAATTCGGCCCCACGTGGAGTAATGTTCTCACCTATGGGCGGGACCTCCCCAGTACCAGCTCAGTTAGAGTCGTCGACGACCAATCCCTTTCCGAGCGGTTTGATCCCATTGGTGTTGCGTAGAGATGTGGGGTCACTCTGAATTTTCTACCGCATATGGTCAGATAAGTTGTTCGGATTACCTGCAGCTGAGTTTCATCATTGGACGTCAAGGCAGAAAACGAAATTCCACCCTCACCTCACCTCGTCCACCACAACTGAGCGTATTTTAAGCCTGTTTTTTTCCGCGCACCACCACTATGTGGAACCAGTTGTCCACATAAGTAAAGAAATGAGCGTACCAATCTTAAACGGGCCGACAAAGTACTTGTCTTTTTTGGTCTCAGAATAGGTATTATTAGGGTAAAATTCAGGTTCATGGTTTAGCGAGACTTACTTCGTTTTTCGTCATACTTCGGGCTTAGACTTGACTTAGCGTTAATATAGACCAAGACATGATATTTTTTTGTAGATAACATCGTCTTAAAATTACATATTTTTCTTTAAATGATTTATCTTAACGCAAATTCTCAGGCACCATGTCTGCTGAATAAATCAAGGTTTGTACAACATATAAAATATTTTTTTAAATTCTTAAATGTAATCTTCAAGCTACCCGATAAGACGCCAAGGTTAAACCCCTTACTGGTTTTTGGTGCCTATACGTAAAGTTTATTTATATATTTTTGAATCAATTTTTTTTAATGTATGTATGTATGTCATTTGCAGGTTTGTAATAACTACGAGAAACACCTACGTGGTAATACCTACATAGAGTATGCAGACCTGCGAAGCGCTGTGAAAGCTTATCGCACATTACACGCGCGATGGTATGGAGGAAGACAAATGTCATTACAATTCTGTCAAATACCATCTTGGAAAGCAGCTATATGTGGTATGTTTTTTTAAATAAATTTATTGGAAAATATATAGAACTTATAAATTATAATAAGTTAGGGTTTGAATAATGTCTCTTTTACTCCTCGTTATAGTAATGTAATTTTTTTTAACCAACAGGGTAAATCATATTATGTATTTTTAGAAGCTTACAATGGGTTTTGTATATGGTTGTCATGTTGTATAATATTGTAATAGTAATGTCAAATTAATAACAAACTTATAAATTATGCAGTATTTAAAATATTGTAGTTACCATTCATACCCGCTTTGAGTTGTAAATTTCTTAACAGGGTCTTGAGACAAAATCATAGAACCATTTTCATACAAATTTGTTGGGCATTAAAAAGTGTGTCAAGCCTGTCGAATAGGTACTTTCTCTAAAGCCCCAGAAATTTAAATTCGCTCTTTGGGCGTTTTAATCCTGTTCTTTGACAATCTGGAAATAAATACTTTCTAAGCATTATTTAGCATATCTAAATTAAGTTGTTTAGATCGTGAATCTCATCATGATCTCGAATCTTAGTAGCAATCTGGATTATATTTCTATTAATAGATAAATCATTTAACTTTTAGGTCTACAGTCAAGGAAAAGATGTCCTAAAGGCCGTGCATGTAACTTCTTGCATGTATTTTCAAATCCCGAAAATTTTTTTAGAAGAAATTATATTCCTGAGAGGTAATTAATTTTGTATAAAACCCTAGTTTATTTAAAGTACAATAGGAGATTTTAGAGTGATTCCCGTATGGAAAAATATGTTTTTATAGTTTTAATAGCTTTAATAGCTTATTTATTTCTACAAACAAAAAATACCACAACAACATTTACGCTAAGAACTCACGAAGCGGTTTGCACCCGCGCCCGCCGCGGTGGCGGTTTGGAGTTTTTTTTTCAAAACTCACGAGACCGGAGTTTAGTGCGGTTACGCAGCCGCCGCGGTTGCGATTATCGCCCGCAAACTTGGCGGTTGATTATCGCAATACGGGCGGTTGCAAGACGGGCGGTTTAACGATCAGTTGAGTTCCAGACCGCCATGGACACACACCAGAAACGAGTTGTTGCGTTAATTCTAGAAGTACTTCTACTACTACAAGGCATAAAAGATTCTGCGTTCATCCACTGATTGCGGAACGAGATCGTTATGGATTATTTGTTACTCTTATTAATGAGTTAAAGAAGGATGAAGAAAAGCTCTTAAATTATTTTCGAATGTCCGTATCTAGTTAGAACTTTTAAGAAAAACAGAAACTGCCCAACGTCGCCCGCCAACCGACCGCAGAGCGCGCGGGAGCAACCCGCCGCGGCTGCCGGTACAAGATGACCGCTGGTGCAGCGGGACCCGCAAACAATCGTACACGCGGCGGGCGTAAAAAGAAATGTGATTTAATTTTAGACATAAATATCTGTATTCTAAAAAAGCTGTGGGGCCGAAACCGCGGCGGGTTCGGGTGCAAACCGCTTCGTGAGTTCTTAGCGTTAAAAAAATCGATTTTTTTTTTTGTCTTTACTTCCTTCTTGGTTAGATTTATGGACTAAAATTATCTATTAAGTAATATTTCATTAATTTATAGAAGGCGTAGGACACCGCCACGTTCATGGCGATGGTCAGAATCACCCGAACGAGAAATAATAAAAAGGAAGCGTTCGAGATCAAAAGATAGACGAGATACCAAAGATAGAAGAAAGCGGCGTCATTCAAAAAAATTCCGATCTGATAGTTGATTTATAATACTTTGTAAAATAGTTCTTTAAGATTTGTTTCATTGCTAAATTTTAAAGACTGGGATACCCCAGTCTTAAAAATTTAGGATACCCGTAACACCTTCATGTTTTTTTTTTTTCAAGAATAAAAAACCCTTCATTGTTAGTGAGCGACAATGATAAAACGTACTCTTATATTAACGTAAAAAAATCTCAACTTTGTCGTTTGCCGGCAAAAGTTAAGTTAACAAACTTAAGTTTTCAAAAAGTCCGCCGATCTGTGTTAATTATCTATCAAGATATAGTATTAACGTGTGTAAGAATGAATTTTGCTGAATTAGCCAGTTTAGTAAAAATAGAGAAATTGGCGAGCTTAGTGGTCCAATAGATTATCATTTTGCGAAATATTGTTGTACGATATAGTATTTTCTTGAGAAAATATGCCGCCCTGTCTTATGTACTTGTACATAAGACATGGCGGTATGGTCAAAACACTTTAGCCTGGCCAGAAGTAACAAAATAATTTAAAAAAACTATGCTAGTCTGTGGTTCAGTAGGGACGTAACATTCTGCATAAAAATCGATTATTAATTTAGCAAGCAAAATCGATTTTATCCTAATTTTTCAATTAATTAAAAAAAACACCCTAAAGAGCGTTCACATCTTCAAAATTTGTTATTTGTCGTTTGATTTTAAAAATCATTCAGACAGTATCATCAGCAAACAAAATTATCTGATGTTTTTTCTCTACCATAAAAGGTAAGTAGATCATTTATATAAACAAGAAAGAGTCAAGAATTGAGCCCTGTGGACCTACTACCGTCCCAGAGGACCTCTTACCACTCACTGCAACCTTCTGAGTTCTACCGTGTAAATAGGAAGTCAGAAGATTCAGTGCGGTATTCTTGATGCCATAGTGGTGGAGTTGCATCGATTGCATACATCAAGTACATCAAAACATCTTCAAAGCATCGGATCTATTAAATGTATCGCATTGTAAACATGGATGTATATCGAATATCCCCAATAGTCCGAGGACCGGTAGAAAACACCTATTATGTCAGCCGGGAGGTGGACTAAAAGACGACTATTATTGATTTTCATTTATATAAAGAATCGATTATTAATCGATTTTTTTTAATATTAAAATCGATTATTTCTCCAACGATTATTTTTTCACATCCCTATGGTTTAGTATTGACTATGGCATTAATAGCCGTGAGTCGTGACAGATGACTGTTCTGAACTTAATAATTATTAATACATAGATGTAAATAACAGCTTACATCAATAAATAAATAAAGAATGTTCTTTAAATTTTAAGTAGAACAGTTCTTCTATTGAATGAATGCATTTCTGAAACAAACTGCCGTAACAGAATTAGAAATATTGGTAAAATGCCAATATCAGCAATATATTTTAATATAACCAGATGCAATTATTTGCAATTATTTAAAACATCACTCTGCCTTGCTATTCCAAATGTTCATCCTACAAGGACAATTATATGTTCTACTTACATTCTACAGAAAAAACTTTTAATAAATAACATTGGAAGTACATTAGATTCAGGTAACATAAATTTAACAATTACATTATCAATGAGTTATTGTATAATACATACAGATTTCCTACTCATTCCCACTAGAATAAAACCTTTTGCAATCTACAGCTAAAAAATTACTTATTTTACTAGCTCATAATTGCACCTGCTGAATTTAAAAAAAATATGTACTTTCTAAGATACCTTTTTTAATTTATTTAGGGCAAAGAATACAATCTACCTGATACATCTTTTTATCATGAACATCAGTTTTACTTAATATTTTTAGTTTCTACAGCCAAGAAAAACCTAATTTCTGAATTGAATTTTGAGTCTGAAAGTCATGCTGCACCCTTTTGTAAACTGCCTATTAAAAGTTTACTTCAAATATATAAAACAACTAAACAGGATCAGGAAAGTGGTCATTGTAACAACAGGCTGTATTACATTGCTTCTCATTTGAAGGTAATATTTCTAAATGAAATAAAATAGTTTCAACATACCTTTACTATAAAGATAATTTTTTCAGTGCCCACCTGGTATGTTAAGTGATCGCCTTGCAAAAAGGTGTTTTATTTATAGCTTATCTTTCGACTGGCTGGAAAAATCATTAAAAGTTTTGCTAGGTAAGAGGTGAGTTTATGGTGATGTAACAATTCTTTGTTTGACATTCTAAACTTATGGTAATTTTAATATAATATTCTTTCATTGATTTCAGATAAAGGAGTACCTCCAGATAGAATATTACGAGATTTGTGGGTATTAAAATATCATCATCAAACTATAGATGATAGACTCAAAAGAATACAAGATATGGGTATTGACACCCTGTATCCATGGATGGTGCGATGCTCTGAGGATATATTGAATAGGTATTTGATTATGTAATGTATTATGAGTGAGTGATTTTTTTATTTAAAGCTAAGATACATTTCTTAGGTTCTGATATATTATGTATAAAATAACTAGGTCTTTATTGAAAGCTATGATTCACTGTGCATTAAAATTATGATGAAATTTATGAATTATTAAATATAAAAATTAAAGTATACTATTAATCTGATTATAGGTATATAGAAATTTACCAAGAAACCAAAAGCATTTTAGGTAATGGTCAATCAACAAAGGGATATATAGCTAACCGCTTAAATACCTCCATAGATACAATAGACGAAATATATGCTAAAGTGCCATCTTTTACAAGGATAAGAGTCAGCAAGGTATTCTTAAGTTATTTAAAGTTTATTATGAACTATCATTACTATGTTTAGAAAATTATTCAGAACACACCAATCACATTTGACATTAATTATGAATGTTTCTAATTCTTTTCCCTTAAATGATTTCTAATTATACTTTTTAGGTAAAAAAATTTTTGGATTTTCTATTTGAAGAAGGGTTCACAATTGAAGATATATTATGTAAGCCAAGAGTATTGTGTGCCTCACAAAAGACAGTAAAAGAGAGATTAGAAAAACTTAGAGGATTAGGATTAAAAGATATCAATCTCAATGTTCTATGTAGAAGTAGAAAAGATTTCAGAAAATATTATGAGAGTTTACAAACGGTAACCAAGGAGGAAAATAAGCAAACTTAAAATAAAAAGACTATTGTTTTATTTATCCCATCTTTATTTTCAGAATACTTCATATACACTCCTATATTATGACAAAACCATTTTGCATAGTAATTAAATATAATTAAAATCAATTCATGGATCCTTGTTTACCAATAATTTTAATACTAAAGCTTAAAATGAAAATGACAATCTTCAAAAGGTTAAAAAAATAAAATATCTAGCAATGCAGTGGAATGAATATTTGACACTATACAATATTATTTAATCATGCAGGTGTAAATTTATTACAATCAATGTAGGCAGGATACTTTTAGTGTCATTCTAACCACCTATGGTTTTTAATGATAAATATTTTGTGAGTTCTGAGTAAAAATCAGTTTCCTAAATAGTTATAATTTGTCTATTGATGAGCACACTGAACTCCTGGCCCTGAATGCATGTGTTCTTCATCATCACTAGCATATGCTTCCTCCCTAGTAACACGATTCCTCTCACTAGGTGTGTAATCCATTAGGTTGACTTCCTCAACATCTTCACCTGTAGGCATGACAAAAGCAGGACGAGGTGGAAGCACAGTTTCTATCTGTCTTAATTGCTCTTCTGCTGCAAAGTTGTTTTCCGGGAAAGTAACTTCAAACTTAATATATAAATTCCCCTTTTCAAAGGGGTTTTTATGTTGCGGCATTCCTTCACCTTTTATTCCTTTTAAGTCTCCTGGCTTAATTACTTCTCCTGCTGCATGTCTAATGAGAAGATCACGTCCATCAAGATGTTTGACAACAAATTCAAAACCACATAGTGCTTCAGTCAAAGAAATATCACGTCTTATTATAAGATCATCACTATTCCTTTGAAAAACATCATGGGCTTTTTGTTGAAGTACAATGATAACATCTCCTGGTTCAACATCGGGTGCCTGATCACCTTCTCCTCGAAAGATAATTTTTTGATTTTCACGCATTCCTTTTTCTACATGTACTTCAAGAATTTTAGTTTCATTTAAAACTTTCTTTCCTTTACATTTTGAGCATTTGTCTTTGTCATTTATTGTTTCACCTTGGCCTTGACAAGTGGGACAGCGACTTTGCAATTGTCGGGTCATGTTAGGGCCAATCCGTTGAAAGGATACTTTTATGCCTTGTCCATGGCAGTCACTACAAGAAACAACTGCACCAGGTTTACCACCTACACCCTTACATGGCCCACAGATAACATTTTTACTCAGCTGCAATTTTGCCGTTTTTCCTACATACATATCTTCTAAAGACACTTTCAATGTATGAATAGTATCTTCACCACGCGCTCTTCCGCGAGTCCGTCGACCACCCATTCCGAAAATATCACCAAAGAAATGGCGAAATATATCATCTTGAGCACCACCGCCTTGACCACCTTCTTGGAGCCCTTTCAACCCATATTGATCATAAACTTGTCGCTTTTTAGAGTCAGATAATACATCATAGGCGTAACTAATCTCTTTAAAACGATCACCAGCATTTGGGTTAACATCAGGGTGAAATTCTTTTGCTAACTTGTGATAATTCTGAAAAATATTAAAAACGTGCTTAAAATAACAAACCATTTAATTATTAACATTTACTTATTACGTCCACATGCACTATTGTCACAATCAATAAAATAGATAACTTACTCGTTTAATTTCTGTGTCACTTGCATTCCTGGATACACCTAATATTTCGTATAACTTATTATCAGCCATTTTACTAACAGTATTTAGATCAAAAGACAAAAATCCGTGGAGAACCGAGAATAACTAAAGAAAATGAATTACGCTAAACCTTCCGTACACTAAATTCCATTAGTCATAGACAAGGGTTCAGAAACAATTCTGTAATAGACAGTAGACATGCAAACTATTTGTAGATAACAAATTACGGATTATTAATGTGACTCTGTCGCGCGATCGCACTAAGGCGGGGTACCAAAAAGCGCGTAGGGTGGAGAGAGAGTAAAGCCGAGGCAGATGTTGCGGCTTTAAATGGGCTGAAACCCACACAGTTGGGTATGTTCGATAGCGCCAGAAGACGACTTGAAGAAAACCTGGCTGCCGTAGAGAGAGTCGCTAGTTGTTCAATGAAACTGAAAGGCACCTTTTGCTGCGCTCAAGAAGGCCGTTGTTGCAATTAGGATAGGTGCTGAGAGCCTAGCAGTGCGAACGCTCGCAGACGAAGCACCCACCCTTCAGCTGGAAATGAACGCCTCTGTGCACAACTCTCTTGCAAGACAAAATGCGCGAGGTGAGGTCGTTCCTGCAAGTTGCAACAAGCTCTGATGGATCGCCCATCCTTCAACGTAGAAGAACTGGAGGTTCGTATTCTCCGCCAGGGGGTTGAGCGCATAAATACACAATTAGAGGATATCGGACCACAACCCAATTAAGAACCACCAAACGTTCCATTTACGCTACAGACTGCAGAAAAAGCGAAAAAGGCAAGTCGAAGCCACCGCTTAAATCATCGACGCATAAGGACTCCCTTGTCGTCGCAGCAGCCCCGAAGACGAAGCGGGGAAAGGAGATGGCAATCCTGCTAGATTGTAGATTGGATGTCTGCAGACAGAGCCGACTATCACAGGCGCAACGACAGTTCAAACGTATGACGAAAGCGGAGTGGTCGAAAATGATCGAAGTAAGGCGAAGGAAGGCGTTCCTATTGCCTGTCTTGCAGTTGCATCCCAGCACACCCCTTTATCGATTTCCGTCCCTGCCGCGGAGGGATGGAATATCGTTTCCAAAAAAAGCCAAACAGCAACAACCACGCCACCTAGAAATTTAAAAAAAATCTAAGGTCGACAAACCCCCTCTTAGACAACCTCGCCTTGCCTCGCCACACCGCTGCGTGTTCCGAAGGGCGCTGAGGCAAGATGTCACCTATGCCGCTGCCCTAAAGGAAACTCGTGCCAAAGTGGATTTGAAGGAGGCCGAGGGCGTTAAGTTCCACCCCGCCGCCACGGGAGCTACCATGCTGGATGACTCTGTCACTATACTAATAAACTGCGCGAGGCCATCGCGGGCCATTGTGAAGTAAACAAACAAACAGCTTAGAATTCATTGTTTTTAATTATATTCATGAATTGAAACTGAGTAGCTAGCGCACCGTATCATTTTGTCAACTGCTTAGTGCGTATATATATATAGTATTTGCGATCGAACGAACGACATATTCCTAGAATCGCTAAGAATCGAGACTTAGCGCTAAATAATAAATAATAAATAATTCTGCACAACACAACTCGATTCTGCGTCCTGCTATTTCGGATGCAGTTTATTGATTTGTTGTTTGTGAAGTTTGCCTACCTCTGATTGTCATTGCATTTGTATACGATTTATTAAATAAATAATCTTTTAACCATTAGATTAAGTTTTTACAGAATTTAATTAATTGTAATAGAATTATTACTATCATTGTTATCGTTATTATATTTTTTTGTTATTAATGGCTTCGAATCAACAGAGACAAGAAAAAGATGGCGCGTAACGTAAAATAGTGACGCGTAGCCGAAAAATGTGACGCTAAATTTTTTTCCAACGCCGATAAAGAAGTTTCACTCCAAAAAACCTGTCAGGTACAAATTACTGAAAGGCTATTATGAAAAAAAAATCACTTGCACATCTGCAGAAACGTAAGGTAAAGTAGCAAAGATCCATTAAGGGTTGTAGCGCCTAGAACTAGAATCGCCTATCACACATATTGTTTTGGACGTTTAAAAATGTAAATTATATCGTCGCATTGCTGGTTTGACTTTGATTTGTAGCTGTCACATAAATTCCAAGACAAGCCCAAATTCTTAGATAATAGCATAGTAAGTCATTACATAAGAACATCTTGAAAACTAAATATTGCGTTCCGGTGATGTTCCGCCATCAATTTTCATTTTTGGTTAGCCGTCACGGATAAAGCTGGTCTTACGTATAAAGTTGTAGAAGCAATTCCATGGTGTATTCATTGTTTGCGTACTACCGCGAATAGGAGAAAGTAGATAGTTGTCGTAATCGTTAAGGTATACTCAAGTGGATAAATATTGTCTATTATTAGTGCTAAAACATGGCTCATTACATAATATACTTAGCCTTAGTTATTAATATTCTATCATGCACAATGCTTATAAAAAAATATTATAATAAATATAAATATTATCTATTTTTTTAGTTTAAATAAATATTTTTATAATATTTTTATTGTTCTTACATGCATAATATTTTCGTTAAGCTGTCAAGAGAATGGTTACTCCAAAGTCACGACCGGTCTGTCAGAAGCGAACCGATTGAGATGAGATTATTATATATATATATAGAAGAATATTTTCTTAGAAACTAACTACCTAGTTCGCTGTACCAACACATCTAAGCAACGTAATTTTTATCTTACCCTGTGTCTTTCTGTTCCTTCAGTTACCTCTTGACGCTTAATTTAAATACTTTTGTTTAGTATACTATGGTATAGTGTAAACCAGTAAACAAAAAAGCTCGAATGTTTTAATAATAATTTAATTGTACACTGCTATTTTGGTTATATCATTATTGTTAAGCAATCACCATTCATAGATTTAGGTTTATAGCACTATTGTTACCAAAACTAACAGAACATTCAATGAATAATTACGCGGTTTACCTTTGACACAGATTCTACAATCTTACATAAAGTAGGTTGTATATGGATTTATCTATTGCATTTTAAACAAGCTGAGTCCCGCGGTTTTACCCGCGTTACTCTGCTAGAAGTTCCCGTAATTAACCAAATAACGAAACTCTACAGCTATATAATTCTGAATAATAAGTACTAATACATGATATGTCAGGGTACCTACCGGGCAATCCACAGCGGGAAGTTTCCTCGCTCGTCGTAAGAGCATTGCAGTCTAACGAGGAAATGCCACTAGCATACATTTACTGATAGTACTGAGCCGCAGGGGGCAATTTTATTATACTTAACAAAGAGATAAATAATGTAGAATAATAAATTGAAAATTCTACAATACAAGTTACAATGAAGTAAATATGGTCATGGTTTGGTCGAGAAAGAATCCAGTCCAGAGATTCCAGTCGTATGTTTCTACGAACAGCAGTGGTATATGATATGAGTAGATAGCGTGACAAACAATGACGCAAATTTTTCATGGAAAAGTAAAAAATAATATTTACATTTACCAAACACGTAATTTAATTGTCTTTGGGTATACGGAGACACTGATTTCAGACATGATCAGTCTTAGGCTTTGTACATTTTTAAACGCGATTATTATTAATTATTAAGATGGTTATTATCACTTAAATTAAATTGTACATATATGTGAAAACGATCGAAAATTCTATTTACTATCAATAACAATTTAAAAGCTATAATATTAAAAATATTCATTTGACCTCAATAACAATGCATATGTTACGAGTACGAGTTATTTTCGATATTTATTTCGCCACGTTTGAGATATAATAATTTGCAGAATGCATCATTTCATCACTTGAATCTTTTAAAATGTTAAACATTAAGCCATTAGACTAAAAAGTAGGAAGTAGCACATCGAGCTTCTTATATTACCAAACAGCCAGAGGGAAACAAAGCGTCGTACACCTGATCACATAATAACTCATGTGTGACCGGATTATGTAAATTTATGTTCATATCCGGCTACGACCTCTAGAAGGTCTCTGCAATTACAGGTACTCATTATGTTTCGAAGGGGAGGGACGAAGAGTCGGATCTTCTCTCATCATCATATTGGAAGTGAAAGTGAATGAATGTCGGAGGCTTAATTAGAGAGAACCGCAGTGCCTGCGTCAGTTGTTGTGATATCGCCGTTCAACGCACACTGCGTACCGCGTACGCGCAAGTTCATCAAAAGCTTCAATAATACGAAAGGTACCGTGGATTGCAAAATAGTGCGAACTTGCCAGTTATAAAATAATATCAGTGCTTCAGATTTAACGCTCATTAGTGTACAATTTTTAAGGTTTGCTGTGGTATTATTTTAAAATTGGCTTAATAAATTAAATAAAATATTTTTAATTATATTTTATTCGTATTTTTGTTAAGACGATTTGAAAAATGTCTAAGAACTGTAACGTTCTGAAAATTATGCAAAATTTTTTTGAAAAAAAACGATGAATTTACAGTAATAGATTAAAAAGTTATTTTAATTACAAAAAATTTCTACTGAGAACAACTTCGGATGCTAGCTTTCCGTCTCATAAAATGCGTACCAAATTGTCGATTTCTCGCGCGAGCACCTTTTCACGCAAGGAGGTCAGAGAGGCGAGTTTTGCTTTCACAAATACAAACAACAAAATAAATTCATCTCACGTATCGATTGTCCTCAAGCTACGCTACCTGCATAACTAAAAGAAAGTGAACTCAAAACGGCAGTTGACTACTTTCCTTGATACATTTCCGATCAAATTAATAAGAGATGCAATTTGAATAGTGGCATGTTTTTAAGGAGATTCAAAATCATGTTACTAAAACCTATAAAAAAGACATAGCTAATATATAAGTATTAAACATTTACGATACCTAATTAGTGCGATGTTATCACCGTGAGATTCAGGTATTAAAATTAGCCGTTACAGCAAATTTGTCTCCTCTGAATCGACTTAATAATATTACGGTATATTGTATATGTATATACACAGTTTTAACGGATTACAAACCGTTTAATTACTGACAAACCGTCAAATTTAAATACTCTTTTAAAAGTATTACCGTAAGTCATTTATGTGTTATTTTTTTGCATCAGTATGTAGGCATATATCAAGGGAAGATTTAGCATTCGAATAAGGGCAAAATTAAAAATAATAATAATAAATTGAAGTAACACATAAGTGTGATATATTCACACGTTTATGTGTTCATAATGTTTTAATATAGAATCTATAAATATCCTAACAAAAGCTATTTTTAACTAAAAATATACGAGAACCTGTCCAGACTCCAGGGAGAGCCAGAACCTCATAATAACATCATAACTCCTAAATAACATGGTTCCTTGGTGATGATGGAAAATTGTAATAGATTAAACTTTACAGATGAGCCGGCACACCTGTTTGGCTGCAGCGGCGCTGCTGGTAGTGTTTTGCGTTGCAGAAGCACAAAGAAGATTGGCACTTCCAGACCCACGGAGTTGTGCTAATAGTACGTATTTTTTTCTATGCTGTATATATTCCGTAATGGGCATGTTGTAGTCATTTATGTAATAATAGTAATATTGTGTCTTAAGATAATAGTTTTAATATTTCAGTTTAACATTTTGCTCGACATAATTAGTTTATGTTTTACGTATAATGAAGTATAACTAACACGACAAAAAAAAAACTCTACTTAAAACGAGTAAAAACAACATGAACTCCGATATCCATATAAAATCGTCAAATACTCAAGAAATCTTTTACCGGAGATGTTAGGATGATTAAAAAAATCAACAGTATTTATACAAACTGCATACAACTTTAATTATTTTGTAGCTAAAAAAAATACTGAATCACTTAAAGCAAAAATGCATGTTAACATCATGACATCAGTACTATCTATAAAGTTGATTTTAATGTAAATTTTAGTACTCGTATTTTACCGCATCAATAATCACATTATTTTGTGACTAAGAGCTATAATTCCCCCGAACTTAGCAAGATTTAATTATACTATGAAATTGTGTAAAGTTTGCAAATAAGAGCATTGAACACCTGGTAATTGTCAACATGAGAAAAATACTAATTCAAACGAAATATTTGTACAGGACACTGTAACTGATTATCTTCAAAATAACCTAACCCTGTCTAATGCATAAAAAGTTACATTCAGTTGTTTTGACCAATATTTGTTACTAGTTAGTGAAACAATAATTAGAGCAAGATAATCGTGACTTGATACAGAGGTCATTAGATTTCAGCAGCCTTTCAGAGATGTGCAATGGTCACGAGTATGTTTCTTGCACAAGACTCGCTTAGATGTGGTGACTGGTGGCTCACCTTGTAGTCTAATTGCTGTACATAATGCGAAGTGATGGCACTAACGTTAATTATTTTGTGCCATTCGTACATTCAAACATATATAGGTCAAGTTGGTTTTGTCAGCAAAAGGAAATGTTAATTACTTAGGTGTAAAGTGATTTAAAGCGATCGATGATAACCAAACCATTGATAAGTATTAACGCTTCTATCGTAAGCACTACGAATTTCTTATACTAAAGAATAACTGTCATTTTCTTGTTCTGGTTTAAGTATTGGTATTCTTCTAATCTGAAAAATAGAAAATTGAGGAGCATATACATTTTTGGAATTTTGCAAGTCAAAAAGTAATTAGTTGTGGCATTTCTATGTAAACTGTATTTTTAATTTATTAATTCAGCACCGTGGATTATTCATTAACTGTGACCAACTTTACTGGGGCCAGTGTGGTTTAGCATTTAATCAATATTTATTACGTAATTACAATAACATTAGTGAAGAATAGCCCGCATGGAAAGTCTATTCAATGTCACTTTGCAATTTATCGTTTTAAGGTTGGGTTTTTGATTTTATTACATATAACAATACAATTTAATTGCGTACGTAAAATAATAAAATAAATAATGTCATTTTCATTTACTATATACTCGAGTTTCACTATTTTCAGAAACGTGTTTAATACAAATTTTAAAATGATCGTATTATAGTCTGCTAAAATGATATTATCATTTTTAAAAGCCAACATCTGTGACATTCTCAGTCCTTATGCCTTCCATATCAATTCCCCACTTAAACCGGAAAAAATAACTGAGGATCCTGTCATTAGAGAAATCATACAAACATATTATGAAGCTTTGTCTTCTCGACGTTTATAACTAGCCTATAGGTCAACAGAGTTGAAAACCAGGATTTGATTTTAGAACAGCAATAAAAATAAATTATTAATTATAATAAATAGTTAATGTAAATCCCATTTACCCACAATGAGGTATGAGGCAGACACATTTCTATGTCCTATTGTCTCAGGTAAATAATTTTTATCAGGCTTCTTTGCCCACCTGAAACCATTATAGATAACGATTATACCTACAATTAACTGTATATAATTGTTGCTCCCAAATCGATCCCATAGTTTTTACACCATAAATTTAACCATAAAACCATGCAGGCTTAAAATATTAAATTCCTCTACAGACAGTGACGCTACCCAGGATTGTGGCTTCAGATATCTACATCTGTTTTGATAGCAATTTTCGTTTTGATAGCAAACTGTTTTGTATAGAAAAATACATTCGCAGCCGGGGTTCGAACGCACGACAAACGTTCAAGCTTAAGTTTAACTACATGGCTAACACTTCTCAGTTTTAACCGCTAACCCATTTTATATTAAATGCGGTTGTGACAAAATGTTTTGTATGAATATTCCCACAAGAGGGCTTATAAATGTTGCAACGCGATGTCAGCAATACGTGCTATGGGCGTTACCGAGTTGTATGGGAGTGTACGGACAATTGAACATCATTTATTTACAATACTAACAAAACATCATTGTTCAAAAGTATTGTAACCTTAAAATATATTATCGATACCGGTAAGAGGCTGTAACTACTGAGTTTCATGCCGGCTGTTCTCAGATCTCACTTGACGGCAACGAAAATTGACGACCAAAAGTTCTTAGTAAATATTTAACTTTTACTAAGAAAACAAAATTAATACGTCTCTTAAAAATAATAATTTTTCGCTGTTGTGGTTAAATTCAACTGAATCATCATGAAATCCTTAACTAACCGCTTCTTTAATTTGTAATTAAATATAGTATTTATAAGACCAACATTGAAGGCAGTGCCACTAGTTTTCTATTTTTTTATTCCTTCTTCATCCAGGGCATCATGATGCCACGGTCAAGTCACTTAAGTAATTTCTGGCAAAAATATACGAAACTTGAAAGAAGTTTTTTTATGTTTCCTTTTACGCGAACCTACATAAGAATCGCATATAATATGTATTTCTATACAATTTCACTAAATATGTATTTAAAAAATCAGTGGCGCTACAACCTCTTTCATGCGATTTCTGAGTTTCATGATCATTTTTAAATCTAATAGGCAAGTCACCTACTTGCCAGCCTCCAGTACCTGGCACACGCCGTCGACTCTTTAGGTCTAAGACATGTCGGTTTCCTTACCACGTTTTCCTTCACCGGGGATCGAACCTACGACCTCAGGTATGAGAGTCGCACGCTGAAGCCACTAGGCCAACACTGCTCACTTTTTAAATACATACTGATAAAGTTGCCGACTCACTACTCCATTCTATGTACCGTAAAATCTAATCATAATGTTTAAAATTCATCTTGATTTATTATAAGTATAATTATAAATAAAAAAACTTGCTGAACCAGATCACAGAGCCTTTCATATTTTATCTATTCCACTTTATATGCTCATGTGGTTTTATGTGTGTAATTTGATAATGCCTAATTTTTGGTGAAAATAAAGGTATTAGCACGCGTAAAGAATATATTAATGGATTCACGTTTTAATTTATATTTTACGCACATTAACCATGTGTAAGTTTAAAAAATAGATGCCTTTTTTGTAATAAAACATTTTATAGTGTTTTTGACATACTTTAGTTTGCATTTTATACCTAATTAGCAATTACTTTGATAAATTTCTAAAAAAAACTTTCTTCTAAACTTAATAGCAACATAGCAAACATCTATCATTCTAGATTTGATTTTTCGTTTTGGATAGGGAATGACAACAAACTTGTACTTTAAGAAAAAAATACCGTAGTGACTACTATATATGATTCTTATTCTAAATGATATATCCCCAAATCATTTGTAGGAATGTTGGGTCGTTAAATTGACATTAATGACATAATAATATGTATGCTAATAATTACGTGAATCACTAAAATTCACATTCAACCATTCACTATTACATAAAGCACAAATGTTTCAATGGTACAAGTCCAAATATTACAACGAAAGTTATTTGCAAAAAGTCATATTCTACACGATGCATTGAGAAAGGTCATAACGTTACTTTCTAGTTACGAAACATCTTGTGACCGCGTTTGTATAGTAAATACGTTTTATGAACTGGCACCTGCTTTTCTAAGCGTTTAGGTGTGGTATGAAAAAGCTTTAGCTTGACTTTACTGGTGTAATAAATTATGTTATGGTATAAGTCATAAAAACGACCTAACTACGCATTTAACGACTCTTCCCAAACATACGTGCCTGTAAATCAAATATTAACGATAACTTTAAATGTTTAGGGGTTCGCCACTCAACATACAGGGATGGTCGTGGAGTGCTCCATTCATACTTCTTCAGTTGGGAACACGGACCCACCCGCAATTTGGAAGTGGACTGGTTAGACGCCAGGAACATCTGCCGTCGTCACTGTATGGACGCCGTCTCACTGGAGACCCCTCAGGTAATAATTTTTTCTACATATACGTTATCTGTTCAATAAAAAGTAGCAGTTGGAATATTGAAGTGAATGGTTTCAAAGAATGGTTGAAAAGAAAAAACAAGAGTTTTGTAAATTGTGTACGATAAATAACTTCACTTTTAAAATGAATTCTTTAAAAGTGAAGTTATTTATCTTTTACTTCACACAATTAACTTCACTTTTAAAATGAATATTTTCCTACGCATTATAAAATTAATAAAAATTTTGACCTAATTTAACCACCCCACGGCCGAATGGCTAACGCGCGTGATGGTAAACCGGGTTTGATTCATGGAAAAACAATAGCTTTTTCAGATTAGTATGCACAGAGGCTGATCGTAGAACATATCATAGTATCTTTAAAAAAATAAAAGATATACAATGTTTTACGCGAATGTTCAGACTTCTAAAATTTCAAACTTCTAACGTATAAATTGTAAAATTTTGTTACACGTATTGCGAGGCTGAGAAATTATATGGTATCCAATAATTGTGAGATGACCTCAGGGTTACCGTCTTTAGCCAGTTTACATCATAGAGTCACTCCAGTCGTGAATCGTGATGTTCACTTTCTCGACATCAAATTGATTTCTATAATAACATTAGGCAATCGCAATGGGTGGTTACGAAACTGAAACATACTAGTATCAATTTTGATTGCAGTTTGCATATACCAATCAGTATTAATACTTTTGCGTAACATAATGCTGTGCTGACTTATTAGTATGACTGCAATGATTCACTACCAAAACAATTTTCTTGCTAATTGAAACTGTTTAAACACTAAAAGTATTAATTTTTTTTTCACTTAACAGAAACTTTCAAATAAATTACCTCTGTGGCTGTACTGACAAAATAATTAAGCACAAAATTTATGTAGTACTTGTATACGTCGATACAATTATAAGTTATAGTATTTTATTGTTACTATTTGATATATTTCATTACCTTTTTTATTTTTCGTTATAACACTGCTGTATAGTAAAGTAAGAAAGGTAACATGGGCCACTTGCCATCTCTCGTAGATTAAACTTTGCTTTTATAATTCACTACATATTTTTGCTTACTGGAATGCTGACCTAGTAGGAAACCAAACGCAAACGTTTTTTGGCGCACTCATTGGCGTATGGACTAAGTGCGTGCTACAGAGACAACTATAGCCTAGATTATTGTTCTATGGGACCTTTCTCAGAGACGCGTAACAATTTAATTACTTATATCCTCGTAATATGCAACTACAGAAAACAGCTTAGATAAGAAGTAAATTTTCTCCAAACATTTCCTGTCGCGGTTAACCTGGTGTCATTGTACGTAGTAATACTATTGTTAATGTATCTTCCTATGAGGAAGCACGTCTGTGAATACAATTACTAGATATATTCATATAAATATAATATAAACAGATGAGGGTTATATTATGTCCAGTGAGCTGGTTTCTGTAAAGTTTGGCGATCTAAGCTAAGCGATTTTGTTTTTTTCGATCCCATTGTATATGTTTAGATGTCGAGAAATACCTAGTTGTCAGGTCCGATGCATACAGATACAATGCAATAGATTGATCGGTTTTTAGAGCGTGGAAGCGTCCGTGAAAGGGGTGCAATGGCCGGCTGCGATACTTGACATACCTACTCATAAGGCGCAGACAAGTGGCACACGGCATACATACCTCGACCGTTTTACTTAAGCCGGAAACATACGACGTAGGTGGACTTCCACTGATCACTTGTAACTGATTTCACATTTACCCAGTACCTAGGTAACATGGGTCAAATAGATAGCTATAGTATCGATTGTGTATGAGTCTATAATATTAATTATGACGCACAAATCTTAAAACGTCTAGGCAAAAGATGTATAGTAATATTAGTAGTAGGTAGTAGTAGTAAGATAGCTTAACAGCTAGCTGGTGCCCGTGACTTCGTCTGCGCAGTATTAGTATTTCGAGTAGCTTATATTAGAGTGGCGTAGAAAAAAACCACTTAAGATATTCACTATTTAAGATAAACATTTCCATTCCAGATTTTTCCTACTTACTTGATATTTTGGACAATCCGCACAATATATTTATTAATTGTAGCCTATGTGTTATTCTGATGTATAATCAGTAGTTTTTACGTGAAAGAGTAACAAACATCTTTCCATACTTACAAACTTTCGCACTAATATACTAGGATTAGGCCATTTCATGATTTTTTTAGTACTCTAGAATTCTAGGACATAACCGACATTGGACATGTTTATTAATATTAGTGCCTATTGTACGAATATATGTTTAATTGAAGACGTAGTAACAATTTTCGCTTTTTTTTGTCACATTATTGGTACTTTAACATACATTATGGTCCTAGGAAAATGAATTCATAAAGCAGAGGATCGCAGCGGGCAACGTGCGGTACATTTGGACTTCTGGTCGTAAATGTAACTTCGCGGGTTGCGACCGTACCGACCTCCAGCCCCCGAATGTAAACGGTTGGTTCTGGTCCGGTTCCGGAGCAAAGATTGGACCCACTACTCAAAGGAACACCGGAGATTGGTCTTACACCGGCGGGTATGGACAGCAACAACCTGACAACCGTGAGGCTGCACAAGTAAGTTTTAGACTTTGAATTGCCATTAATATTTTGTGGTGCAGAACCCATGTCATATATCTATTTAATGGTGAATTATTAAGTTAATTAACTGGGTACATTCAAAACGGAAACGTTAAAAATTACCTTATTGAGCGTTCTTGTTTTTTTTAATGAAGTCAGTTAAAAATATCCATTGACCTAGTGATCACATTTCTGTGTAATGAGAATATAATCTTCGTAAAAATAAGATGCAGATTTATGTTCAAATACTAGTCGTAGTAGTAAAATCTTGTCGTTATTATATCTAAATCGAATAAATCACAACAAAACCTTAAATTATTAAAGCGTATTCGGCAAGAACTACATAAAAATTGTATCTACAGTACTGACACATTTACTTACCATAACTTATAAATTTGCATTTCAATGAAATGAATTTAGTGACACGACAAAATTTTTGACTTACGTTTCTTTTACAGGGCAATGACGAATCTTGTTTAGCAATCTTAAACAACTTCTACAACGACGGTGTCAAATGGCACGACGTGGCCTGTCACCACGTGAAACCTTTTGTCTGTGAAGACAGTGAAGAACTGCTTAACTTCGTGAAGTCGCGTAACCCCGGCCTACGCCTATGAGATAATTGAGCCATTACGGCATTGTACAAATCCTAAACCTATTTTTAACTTATTTATTACGATAGTTAAATTTCACTTTCGGATTTTAAGCATTTTTGATATTGATTCAAAATTTACTGTAAAAACATGAATGCACAAAATAGGATAAAGTAACTTATATTGTATATGTAGAAATAAAATTTTTAAAAATAATATTGGTATTATTATTTGTGACTAGGTATTTTTTCGTCAGATTTGTTTTCCACTTATTTGCAACAATAAACGCGAAATATACCTTTCATTGAACTCATTTTAAATACTTAACCTAAACAAAAAGAAAAAAAGAAAATTGTATTTGTTTATTTAAAAAACTCATAATACACAAAAAATATTTAATAACACGAATTAATACATTTTAGCTTATAGAGCACTGAAATAAAGTAAAATAGAACGAAATTGACATGTATGAAACACAATTTACATAAAAACATTCAATTATACAAAGAAATATGACAAATCAAATTATAACATAAATAATACGACAGATACAAATTAACAAATTAATCAAACAAGAGAAATTGACAACAATTATTTATGAACAAACACATTAATATAAATTCGAGTTGATTAATTATAGACATAACAAAGTTCATCATAAAGCATAAGTGAAAATTCGACATTTAAATGTTAAGTTTTGACACAATTTTAAATTTAGAATTGAATTTTTGTATTGAATTCAATACAACATTCAAGCACACTACAAAATAAAGGTCAATGTCATTAGTATAATAGAAATAAAAATTGTTTAAACACAAAATACTAATATACAAACATGAAAACGAGCGAAATGGGTTCTTACATTATAATGAACACAATTATATGCTGTTAATACATAATCTACTTACATAACTATCTAAATTTGGTATCAAAGCCAGCAATTAAAACACTTAACTTTCATCTAAATGCAAGTTGTCGTCATCTAAAACCTTTCACATTTGAGATTTCTTAATATAAAAATTACGTTAAATTGACATGAATCTCTTGTCTCAGAAATGTAGTCAAATAATAAAATATTAAGACAACTATCAAAAATAAAATAAGTAAAATAAAATGGTTCGTCGACTTCGAAAAAATTTACTGATATTATTTATTAAGGCACACACATTGCAATATAAATAGCTTAACTTTCAAATATACATAAAGACATAAATAATACTTGCTTATGTGGTTATTACCATATTGTAAAATGTCATAAATTTTCTAAGGGAACTTCCTTGAGTAAGTTATTATACTATTTTATTATAATAGTATCCTAATCCTGTAACCTATCGGCAATTGTATCATAAAAAATCTATACTAATATTATAAAGATTATTTTATTTATGATTTTTATATTTGTGACGAACTGTTTTGCCATTAGAATGCGAAGTTGTCAATTTTTATTTAAATGGTATAAATGTCAGATCGTGGGAAGGCGGGACAGGCCACACGTAACGAATTAATATCGTCTTTCTGGTCTTAGTTCGAACAAAATGTCAAATCGAATGCACCGTAATGGTTAAGTAGATAGATTTTTTATAGTACATTGTCAACTTTACGGAACAACTAAACGGAACGAACATACATCAAATAGTACACTATAATTTTTTTATGGCAATTCGATAATTTCGAGCTGTCAAAAAAGTACACTCTCTTTTCATTACAACACTTGCGCAGAAACAAACAAAATTTTAGTCAAAAGATAAGACTGTCTTAGGGAGCGTTCAAGTATTACGTAACGAATTTTGGGGGGTCCTTGTAAAACGTTACGATGCGGGGCGGGGATTGAATTATGCGTTATTGTTAATATTATTTACGACTTTCCAGTACTTTACACCACATAATGGTAACTTTCAGGTATAGAGTCACTAGGTGGTCACGAAACGTTTTACGATACTTGGATACAGAAAAACGTTACGGCGCGTTACATGGGGGAGTAAAAATCTCCAAAAATTGCGTGACGTAATACTTGAACGCTCCCTTATTAGTACGTACTAAACGTACGTATACGCAATGAACGTACACTACGAGAAATGAGTCTTATCCGCCAATATAGCTGCCATAAGAGGTTTATCAGCGAGAGCTGCGGTTAACTCGGTCTCGTCCCAGTTAAGTCTAAGTTTTCGGGATCTTGCCCCACCAGTTCCGATGATTCGTAAAGCCCCACGCGATTCCAATAACCCACAGGCACTACACAACTCACTGAGATCCAATGAGGCTATGTTGCGAGATGTGGCCACCCTTAACAAACACAAATATTTCTATTATTAGGGCTAAATTCTCTTTAAGAATTTATTCAAAAGGTTTCTCCTTGTAAATTTCTACGAACAAATTTAAATAATAAAAAAAATAGCATTGTTTACATATATTTACTGTAAGAGTTGTTTCTAAAGATATCCTTGGTTAGATTGACTTTCGGGTACAGCAAGCGTATTTTCAAAAATGCTTTCTGCAGTTCTTAGGTTCTAACTCCTAAAACATAGCACGAACACTTTGACACTTTCATTAGCGTCTCGATTGCTTTGAGTACTTCCCTCTAAGTGTTAAAAATTCCTTACTTTACAGAAATTCGCGATGCGCCTACAGTTAAGAATTAGTAGACGACAAAAGTTACAAAAAAAAACATGTTCTAGAATTAAAGATACTCACTTTTTATAAACATCATGCAGCTTCCCAAGCAAGATTTCTTTATTCTTGCCCTTCAGCATGATGATGCTGCAGAGTATTAACTTCTGTTGCATTGGCATTTGGTCTCCAACCTCTGTGTTAATTTTACTCGAACCTCCATAGACATCATTGAGTACTTGTAACACTTGCTTTAGTTCAACAGTAACCGTGGAATCACTTAACATGGCGTCAACAGATTTACTTTCTCCAAATTTATTTCGTCTGGCGAGTTCTACGACCCGTCGACCGATGTCTAAAGCTCGTCTCATGTCGCCCGATACGGCTGCAATTTTAGCTGAAACCAATAATTTTTTTGTCAACCCCAAATAGTGCGTAGCACTCAAAATATTTAAAAGTTAAATTTTTCTCGCGATAATTTAATTTGTTAACAAATGGGGTGACCACTGACGGGAGAAGATGGAAAATCATTAAAGCAATAGGAGACGATAAATAATGAAAAATGCGGGGAATAGAGGAATGGAAACGTCTAGAGAGGTCCAATGAGAGGTTCATGCATGAAACATATATATGAAGACTGCAATTACAAAAAATATATGAAATTGGACTTTATTCCATACAAAAACTATAATTTAGCCATAAGATTTTAATAGAAATATTTTGATCTCAATTTTTGCATGGAATATATCCGAAAGGATTTCTTATTTTATTTATTTGAAGTTGTAAACAGCCCACAATTTAACGCATTAATTTCTTTAGATCTACCGAAGATGAACTGTCAAATTGTAAATATCGCTTTTATGGTGTCATATTTAAAATACTGAATTGGTTTATGACAGTATTAATAGTCATAAACCGTGATAGTTAGATGTTCTGTTTTGTTTGGAAATAAACAATACTTTTTATCTTCAGATTCGGAGGTGGAAAAGGTAGGTTTTAGGTCTGGGCTGGGCTGGAGATTTCTGTATCTGTGCCGTGATCATTGGTTTCTTCTAATAGGTGATCACATATGCCGTAGACTTTTTGAGTCTAAGGCATGGCGGTTCCTCATGTTTCCTTCACCGTACGAGCGAAATTTAAATGCGCATATATACAGACAGTCCATTAGTGGAAGGCTGGGTTATAACCTCGACATCAAGGATGAGAGTCGCATGCTGATCCAACTAGGCCAACACTGGTCTTTATTTTTACATAGTTCATGATAATTTTTATCATCAAAAACGATTTATTACGCCTTTGCTATACATATATATAGGAACAATTGCTAAGTAAATGAAAGCAAAGATTAATTAAAGTGTCAAACAAGGCGCCGATAAAATGAAATATATAATAAGAATGTGAGCAGAACCCTAGAAGCAAAAATACTTGGGCACTTGAAAATGTTTTCATTACATACTAAAATAATGGATTTAAAAAAAATAGTCTATATAGTACCTGCTAACAACTGCAAAGCCGGACCCGAAAACACATTAGTCCGATCCTCACTAGCCAAGACTTCGGTGAAAATATTGATTATCTGCTCCTTTGTGTACGGAGCAAAGTGCAATGTTTGTGGCCTCAAAGAGCACCTGGCTTGTAACCGAGGCAATGTTCTCTCGGTTAAGTCTAGGGCATTCGCAACACCCACAAGCACTATCCCATAGTCCTGAGCCGGCCACTCAAATATTGTGTATAATACAGATTGCCTCTTACTGTCTAGTTGATCTATTTCGTCTAGTACTAGGAGGCTGTAAAGAATTATATTTTAATAATTATAACGATAAATTGCAATGTTGAAATGTGAAGCACTTTCTATCTGTATTATATTACACCGTTTCAATTAGTGTGGTTATAAGCGTCCCTATAAGTTGTATTTATAAAGTTCTGATTAATTATTATTTTATGTATTATAAGATTAGCACTTCTGCACTAATTCCTCATAATTCTTTTTATATTTAAGCATCCATCATTGGGTATATCTATATTAGGGGTGCCTGCAAGAGATCACTTAATAGCGTTATACCCGCCATTGGCTCTATGTAATATTGTTATTTTATATATTGTAAATCATAATTGACAATATATAAAATACATAACATTGTGCAATAAACTGTATAAGAATAATAATTAATTTTGAAATTACTTAAATATGTTCACAATAACAATTTTAAATTAATATTACTAATAGTTTTATAAAATCTACACTGCAACGAAGTCCGCATTGTTATTTTTACTATAAATTATATGTTACTCAATTACGACGTAAAATATCAACAGCTAATACGAAAGGGCCGAAAATGTAACATTATTCACCTTATTTTCTCAGTAAAAAATAAATATATTAAAGATAAATTGCGAGTTTTACTGATATATGTTCATTACTATTTTTATACTTCGCATCTACTTATGTCGAATCCTGAAGTCTAAAAGGCTTAAGAGGTAATGCATTTAAGTCGAGTAAGACTGGAGGACGAAGTTTTATTTATGGAACGATACAAGCTTAACCTAAAGTTTGTTGGGTTGGCGTGCTTGTCCCCCGGCCGCCATCTTGGATAAAGGGGTGCAAAAAACACGATTTTGGCTATATCTCCTAAACTATCCATCGTACATAAAATTTGTAAAAACAGATTTTGTAGCAAATCGCTGTGCCTGTATGTATATGTAACTTTTTATCATAAATCCAAAATTCAAAAAGTGAAAAATTTCCTATTTCCTAATGTTGACCGGGTTCGTCAATGCTCATGACAAGCCGATCAAAACAACATTTTTACCTTACTTTTAAGATCTCTCGTTTATTTTTAACAAATTTTCCACACGCAATTTTATTTATTGGACATGTAGGGGGCTAATAAAATTGCGTCCTCTAACAAATGTTCAGTTTGGCCCTCAAATTATAACATTTCAATGGACTACTTCTATATTTATTACAATTTATATATTAACGTAAATTTTATGTACGACATGTTAAAATTCGGCTATTAAAGTAGGGAACAGCCACGTGAGCTGTGTCTTTGTTCTTTAATATAATTTAATAGATACAGATAAAATGTCACTTCTACGAAGTTTGTAAAACTAAGGAGTTTCCATTACGATTTTCGCAGGAGAAGCGAAATTTCTATCGTCTATACTCTATAGTTTTACGAGACAATCATACGTTGTTTTTATTCCAATATATTTTTGTAATATAAATGTAACCCTTCTAAACTATTATTTAAATTAGTTTTATAGCTAGCTTACTTAGTGAAAATACAGTGTAAACTCTTTATAACTAATTTCAAGGGACCGAGCATTTTTATTCGTTATAGGGAATGATGAATTAATGTATGGGTATTGGGTTAAATAGAAATAAATTTAACTCATTTTTACGTTATGAGAGATTTTCGTTATAACGAATGACGTTATAAAGAGCTTACACTGTATTGTTGAATCATATTAGTTAATAAGGAAAAAATATATTAGAATGTCTAACATACATGATTACTAAGACTTACATCATTTTATGTTTTTTGTTAAAATACTTTTCAATAGCCGTCAAACACGCTTTCTCTGATGTCCCCGAAGTCTTTATATGAAGCTCATTACATATCCGTGTGTAAATACTTGAAGCTGACTTCATCATAGTACAGTTGATATATACTTGTTTGAACCCTTGCTTGATCTGAAATTATCATTTTATGATTGATAAATTGCAAATTATAATTTGGATGTATATTTTATATAGCAATATCATGATGACTGATAACGGAGTCATCAAGTTAATTATATATTTAACTGTTATCAGTACAATATATTTATATTTGGTGTTCATATGCCATTATGGAAATGCACTGGTCTAGAGTTCCCAAACTTATACATATATTAAAACAGCTCAGCAACCTATCCAATCAATATTATCTGGTACATGGTTTGATGCTGAAAGTGAGTGTTTCTAATGCTCACCTATTTCAATATATAAATAATAATAATAGTTTGTAATTTGTTTTTTAATGTAAATAATAATAATTTTCAATTTTCAATACTCAACCACAAAATTAACCTGACCATAAAACTTCTAATGGACAACTTATACTTAACAGCCAGCGTTTTTGGAGAACAATAACCAATCACACCAAAACTTATACGGCTTATATAAACCAAAAAACACTTTATTTTACTAACGATTATTCTCTTTTAGAGGTACTTTCATCTTTAAGCACTTTGTTAAAAAAAATACTCTACTCTAAACTTTGCTGAGAATCTTAAGCGACACTGTTTAAAGTATTACGAGTGACATAAACGTTCCACCCTCCCAATGTTAATGTACTTTTCTTTGGGAATTTGACACTTGCTCGGTCAAGTGATGGAAAACATGAAAGGATTCTCATAAGTCTAAGATATCGGCGTGTGTCAGACACAGAAGACTGATCACCTACTTGCTTATTAAGAAAAAAATCACGAAACAGAAGGAAACAGCCAAGACTAAACCCTTGTGTCACCACTGGTTTTTTATTATTATACTGAAACTGTCCTTTTTGTTTTTATTATTATATAGAATTTTTAACAGCAGTTAATTACTAAAGTTGAAGTGTTAGTGAAGATTCTACAATCTGTAAACAAATATGCATAAATCAACGAAGATACTAGCTGACAACATGGAATCCTAGGGCAATCCACTGCCAATTCATTTTATTATTTTTTATTTATTTATGATTAATTTTATGATCCACATACAACATATAAATTTCCTCACCTTGTCTAATTGTAAAATATATGACAAAGAGGCTGTCTTCCCAGTACCAGGCTGTCCTGATATATATAATGATGCAGATTTCTCATTGTCAAGATGATCTATCAAAAAGTCCTCAAGAAATTTGATTTCTTTCTCTCGGCTAGTCAACCTCTTCAAAGGTGAAATTGGCTTTCTGGAATTTATTATTGTGAGTTTCAATATAACTTTTTCTTATTGTACACAAATAATAAAAAATTTAAAAAATTACTAATATTTTAGAGTAGTGACCACTGGGATAATTAACTAAAATTAATTATTATTATAAGTTTTTAAATATGTTAAGCTGGTAAGGACAACATAACTAGTTTAAGAAAATTCTTAGCAAAATGGAAGCAGGAGATGATAATTATATAAAAAGATACTGGTATGGCAATATACATACTCAAGTAATGTGTCATCTTCCAAGCTCTGGTTTAATTCATTAGTAATACTGTTCAATCTGCCAACTTTGTTTGGTGTACAGTCTGAAATTAAAAAAAATGCTGTCTACTTCAATGTACCTAACACAGTCAAATTTAAGTATATTAAGGCTTAGGCTACTTATGGTAAATAAATAAATATTATAACAGTCCTATAAATATTTAATCAGTATATTAAAAGTTTGGTATTTATATAGTTTAATATCAGTAATTCCAGAGCCACAGTAAATGAGTAGATTGTTAGAAAATGTATTACCATTGTCATAAGCCTTTAAGGTTTTTGAAAGGCGTCTTTTTTGTGGTTTAATATTTGTAAGATTTTCATTCTCTAAATTTGATTTCCTTTTAACATCTGTTATACCAGTCTTTTTACGCTGACGGAATGGAATTCCAGACTGTACACTAGCCATTTAAGATTATTCTGCAACAAAGATTATTACAAATTATAAAAGTTCAAATTATGACTATCTGAATTGATATTCTCTTAACAATTTTAAAGTATTAAGTATTTGTCGCCAATGTGACACGATTATAAATAAACATGTACCTAGAATTGTGAAGCTTAATTTTATAACCTGATAAAAATTAGGAACATTTTGAATCTTTTTAGATTTTATAAAAATTAGGAATTAGCAAATATTATTAAATAAATACGCACTTACCTAATACTTTGCAACACGTAATAATATATAATGACTACGTTTGTCAACTGACTACTGCCTAACACCTAGCAGTCGTATCCTATTTCTTTATATTAGATAAGTCTAATTATGAATGAACTTTTGATATACCCAATAATTCCTATTTAAGTGTTCATTATTAAAGAATACCGGTATCCTAGAAAGTCAATTATTGTTACTTAAAATCGGAGCAAAAGAAGCAATAAAGTGGTGATTTACACTTTTTGGCGCGAAACTCGAAAGCCTTTAGCCTTCACAGAACATAGCTAGTAATTTGTATGCTAACAGAAGTCAAAAAACATCAATTGTCAAATACAACTTAAAAAAAGAGACATTATTTTGTCTCAAGCGCAACACTTTTGTGTTGCCTTAATGCAAAACAACTAACTACATGGCTATAAGCTACTAATGATTTGTACTAACTGTTATGTAAATGTAAGAATTAAAATATTACATGTTTCGGTCAAAACTAATTGACTCGAAAAATATTTTTAATACGAATATCACAATGTCAGTATGGTTTACTTTTTATATATATTTTTTTAATTTTATGGCCTGGTTAATTTACTTTTTATATATACATATACAAAGACAATATAGAATCATAGCTTAAAAAGGTCGAAAGCATCTGGCCGGCCGTTATATATATATATATATATACCAACAGTAAACTTTTTGATATAATCTACCTGAAAGGTCGCTTGTGGTAATGGACAACGTTTCTTAGCATTGCACTTAATTAAACAAAGCCCCTTCAATGTCAAATATAAAAAGTAGTATGCAGGAATGGCTCCGGCAAAAGTATATATTTTGAAGGCACCTGGAGAAAAGCACAGCTTTTGGACCTTTATTTTGTTTGAGCTAATCAAACAAAATAAAGGTCCACCATTCAAGACATTTGCAGTGGATGAATTATTAACAAATCTGAAAAACTTATAAAAAGAAAGGTGGTGGATAAGAACATGGCACAAGATGCAAAAGAAATTGTAAAATTAACTGAAGAGACCTTTGAGTCTATTACGGCGGGAGATTGGACAGCTCAGTGTACGCATGTCGAACATATAGAGGAGGAATATTTAAAAAATGACGGCTTTATGGATGAAGAGATGGACCGAATAATGATATCTACAGCTAGTGATACTGAAACAGAATCTGATTCTGTTTCCATCCACTCTTCAGACAGTGATGTTCCTATGGTCGCTGATCACAATTATTCAATAAAACTCTGAATAAAATTTTTAAATGTTTTTCTTCCTATTTTCTCATCTTTTCCCTGTAAGCAGGTAGAACACCGCTTATATAAGTAAATTAAAATATAATTTTTACATAACAGAAATATTGTTTCATCGAAGTATTCAGGAAATAGTATTACATATATGCTAAATGTAAAATAGGTAAGTTTTTTACTCATAAATAGCACTTCTTTCATTAAAAGGACTCTAGTCTCTTGTTATGTGATTATTTTCCGTAGTCATGAAAATATGTAAAGGACGATTTAGAGTCGGCGCTAAGCGTAGAGTATGACTTCCGTATATAGAATAAAATAAATTTTGGACATATTCCCATATGCTGAACTAAGTAGACTTTATAAATATAAATAATTATAAAGTTAATTATCTCTGTTTCTGTTCTTCTGTCAGTCTATCTAGTGTAATAGGTATTTGTAAATGTTCCTAGTCTGTGGAACAATTTTCTCTGCGTGGTTACTGGTGGTCGTGTTTGTTATTTGCTAAATATATCAAGCTGTGTACATATTCATCTTAAATATTTTTGAATCGTGTCATTAATTTAATTTATTATTTACACAAAGCTATATAATTAAAGTAGTGAGACTGTCTTCACAAGTTCCTATGGTGAAGACTAGCTGAAGTCAGTACTTGTGACGCTGGGTAATGTAACGAATGTATGGTTAAAATGGTTACTTCTAATAAACAGACGGATAAAAAAGTTGTAAAAATGACTGCACAAAACAATACTGCTGTGGTTCCACATAGAACCCTTTTGGGTGAAGTTAATGAACACATTACATGCCCTCTGTGTCGCGGATATTATATTGATGCTACGACGATTGTCGAGTGTTTACACTCATTTTGTCGATCTTGTATTATAAAACATCTTCAAGTAAAAAAATATTGTCCTGTGTGTGAAATGATGATTAATTCGGCGAAACCTAATATAAAACTAGACAAAGCGCTCCAAGACATTGTATACAAGTTAGTACCTGGGCTCTTTCAAAAAGAAATGGAACGTCGTCAGACTTTTTATGCCTCTCGACCGGGTCCAGCAGCATGTGCAACTCCTGAGCAACGGGGAGAAGACACAGAAAGGATTATTTTTAGTCCTGAAGATGTTATTTCCTTTTCTTTAGAATATTCAGATGTGACTGATAGTGACAGCATTTCAAGTAAATCATCTGACAGTAATGAGCCTCAGCTGCCCACTACAGCTAGAAGGTACTTACAGTGTCCTGCAGTTGTAAATATTAGCCATCTCAAGAAATTTCTGAGTATGAAGTTTGATATTGACAGTACTCAGTTTGCCATTGATATCCTATACAAAAGGGTTCCATTACCAGACTACTATACATTAATGGACATTGCTTATATTTATAATTGGAAGCGTAATGAACCTATGAGATTTTTCTATCAAATCATTGATTATGTTGCTATTAGAAATAGGCTATTTGATGTCAACAGAAAAAGTACTCAGAGTCAAGATAAAAAGTCTATTCCTGCTGTCCAAGAAAACGCCTCGGCTACCTTAAATGATCACCTATCTGAGACATCATCTGGTACTGATAGTCCTATGCCAGATGATAGCAGTGTTAATAAGGGTGCTGAAATAGCAAAAAAAGAAAACCAGTTAGAAAAAATCCAAACCAAAGAGGAAACACATATGAATAAAAGGAGTACTTCTCCACCAAAAAAGAGTGATGATGAGGATGAAAAATCACAATTTCTCAACTCTTTTGAACTTACAGCTAAGAGCAATGCAAAGTCACCCCCTAAAACTAACCCAGAAAACTTTATAGGAACAGAAAATATTTCAAAATGTTCTACAAGCCCTAAAGTAGAGGACAGTTTAAAAAGAAAATATCAGTCTAATATGAATTTACCAGAATTTAAAAAAGTAAAAATAGAGTTGGAAAAAGCCAAAATCCCTGGAGCTCAATCTTCAAACAATTTAGGTACCAAATCTGGTAAATCTGATGAAAAGGTTGTAAAAAATATTGAATTGAATGTTTCTTTAGATAAGGGAAAGACAATAGATATAACAAAACCAATTCAATCCACTTCAAGTTCTCAAGCTTCAGGTTTATCAAGGGATAATAAGATGAATTCAATCACATTGGATAAACAACCAGAAACAGGGCAAAAGAGAGCTATTTCTGAAGGTCAAGTCAATTTGACACCCAAACGGAAACCTGAACATATAACTTCATTACAAAAAACTGTGTCTCCTCTAAAGATTCAACTATCTAAGACAGAGGCTCCCACACTAATTAGTAATAAAGCAACTGATACACCTAAGATGGTTACAAAGAAAATACCAGATTTAAAACCCAGTACACCTAGTACAGTTGGTAACAAAACACAAAATTTAGGAAAACTACGAATGGATTTACTAGCCAATAACAGTGATCCAACAATTGACAGAAGTAAAATATTATCCCAAGTCAAAACATCAGCTTCATCTGGTGCTCAAAATACTGGAGATAATCTCAAATCTTTGTTTGATTCTTGTAAAATTAACATTCCCTCATCCTTATCAATTACTTTAACAGATCAGAAAAGCCCATCAGATTTACCTATTTCAGAGCAAAAGAAAGGTCTTATCAATAAAAATCTTGCTAATGCCAATAATCTTACTGGTCATAAAGTACCAAGCCCTCCAGTCCATAATTATATTGAAATCAAGAAACTTCCTGATACAGACCCTAAAAAAATTAACAAATCTGAGGGATTTGATTCTAAGCCAAATTTACCCAAATCAGATAATACAAAGCCACTTAAAACAAATGAAACATCAGCTAAAGGTCCCATTCCTAATCTCAAACCAATTGCTGACACAAAATTAGCTAAGCAGACTGCGAATCTGGGATCAGCTCCAATAACCTTTCAACAGACATTTGAGCAGCAACTTCAGTCTTTACAAAGTGATTCTAAAAATAAGGTTCCAAAAAATAAATCTCAGGTCCCAAAACTTGTACCAGCAACCCCAAAAACATTAAGTGCCGCAAATAAATTAAGCAACTCTAATAGTAAAGCACCGACTGCTGGACCGACGGGACTTCCTTCGGGTGAAGTCAAGTCAACCACTGCATTAGACTTATCAACACCTCATACTATTCAAAGTCAACTAGGTCCTCAACAAACCAAAGCATTTGAAACAATGCAATCAATAGCAAATCTGGCTAAAAAACAGAATTTGCCACCAAAGTCTACTCCAATAACCATGTCTCAGAATATGTTCCCTTCCCTTTCTAGACCTACAAGTGCACCCTCTCCTTTAAGAATACCTCCAGGTAGTAGCCCTAATCAAATAAAGCAAGAAAAATCCATTGCAAATATACCTCAAAATATAACCAATCTTAGACAGGACTTACCTAAACCAATTAATACAATAAAGCAAGCAAATCAATCCCATAGTAATACACCTACTGGTGTACCATCTCCAAATTATCAAGGGAGCCAACCGTCAAGTAGCTCAACGCAGCCATCACCTAGGTCTCAAACCCGCTCACCAAGTTCTTCACCTAAATTAGTCATAGCAGAGGAAAAACATACAAGCAACATATTGGAACAAAGCCACTCAAATTTAGGATTTACTTCTCAATTGTCAAGCATGTTTGCATCAAAAAGTGAATCACATAAAGACTTGCAAAGTATGGCTAAGCCAGGATTAAAACCATTAAAACCTTTAGTACCTCCAGGTAAAATACCAGGTATCCGACAACCCATCACACCTACTTTAAATGTTAATACTCCTATGAGTTCTCAAGCAGATTATCTGTCTCAACCTCTTATTTCCCAGGCTTTATTTAGGCATCAAATGGACATGCAACATGCCTGGTTAAAAGCTCAAAGGCAGTTTGATTTATATAAAAACATGCCTAACATGGCTCATCAAAATCAAAATGATTTTAACAATAAAGATAACAAAAATGTATAATTTTAATGAATTTTTGTAATAAAACCTTAAAATCTAATTTTTTTACTACAGAATCCAGTCTATCTAAGACTAACTTATTCTAGGTGTCTGGGTTTACTCAACTAAAATATTATTTTTTAATAATTAATATTATATTTGTAAGCTATTTATCATAATAAAATAATTGTTGTAATAAATCATTGTATAGTTATGTAAACAATCATATTTTTATTATTGTTCAATTGTATGAAATTATGTCGATAATTATTAAGGTATAAGTTATTAAGCTTAAAATGTAAATTCTGTACCCTGTTATTTAAATGTTTTTGTTATCTTTTCATTATTTGTATGCTGTGTTGGCAACAAGATTAATGCAATGTGAAATCTAATCCCAATGTTCAAATTTTGATCAGAAAAATGTCAATAATAATAACCTTGAACTTTCGTGACCATGTCTATAGGCTAAGAAATAAGAATAGGTTACTTGTGTGAAGTGTATTTTAGATATTATAAGTGTGTGTAATTAATCATAAATTGTTTTAATGTGGTTTCATAGTACCAATACAAATATTTTTACATAATCTATTTTGTTTTAAAGCATAAGATGCATTAGGTATCAAGACACACATAACTGTGAAATGTATAAATAATAATAAAAGAAGCTGGGAAGTAAAGTCAAGAGTCCTGTTAAATGTGGGATTGAAACTCATTGAGTACAGCAGGCATTTTAACATGAACAGGTTTTCGAAAATTATTTATTTTTAACCCAAAAATTTTTTTAATTTTTAATAAATATTAAATAGCTTTTCTCGTATTTGCTTTTAGTGATTTATTATTATTAGGTCCTTACATATTATGAAATTGGCGTTTTGTATGGGAGGAAGAAAAAGTAGAATTTTTAAATAGAATATATTTAATTAATCAAAGGTACAAATACCGGCCAACATCTTGAACAAATGTCCTAGAAGTGCTCAAGAAGTTTGCCGGTATCTTTACTTATGCCATCTTATAGATTGATCCCCTTTACAAAAAAATAAACATTCGGACGGGAATAAATAAAATCTTAGAAGTCGGTTTCGACTGCCCCATCAGAGTTGAATTTTTTTACCTAAATTTCTAAAATATGGTAATCTGTTGGAGCAAGATCCGGGGAGTACGGTGGATGTCTTAGATGTTTCAAATGAAGCTACTCTAATTTGGTAGTAGTTTGTTGTGTAGTGTGTAGACTAGCGTTGTCGTGAAGCAGCAGTGGCCTAGAACGATTGTCCAGCCTTGGTTGTTTAGCAGCTTTTCCATCATGGTTTGCAGTTGTTGACAATAGACATGTGCGGTAATCGTCTGGCCAGATTTAAGATAGTTCTAGTGAGTATAATTACCTGGTGACCGTAAATTTAGTCAGAGCTTATTTAATTATGATGCGTCATAAAATATATTTCTACATAAAAAGAATTTAGCACAGTGAAGCTATGAGTAATTCATAATATCAGAATACAACCTTAAAACCCACCCTTTTTTTTTTTCCCCAAAAAATTTTTTTTTTTTCTTATACCGCAGTGTTAGCTTAGTTTGTGGATTAAGCTCAACATACGTAGTGCGTTTGAATCTTTATAAGTTCGCGGCCTACACCAATAGATTTTTCTTTTTCTTTCTATGTGCGCAATTAAATCTTGCTCATGCGTTAACAGATCTATGACTCCCATATTTTAAAACCCAATGCCATTGACCCTGATAACCAAGTGTGTAGAACACAGATCACCTACCTGACTTAATTAATTAATTATCAATGAAACAGACGCAGGTTTCTGTCCCATACCCCTTAAGAAAACTGAGATAAACCCCCATTAAAATATTATAATACATATATGTATGTAGTATATATCATTTCGCGGCCTTAGCTACTCCTGTGAATCCTTTTGTACTGATGCTATATATGTACTCATTTATGCCTCAACGATAACCTATATTATTTATTTGTGGCACCATCAGTTGCCCATTTGCTAAATAGCTATCACTATCACGATGTAGGCTAATAATTATTATAAATCTCGAGCAGAGCACACATGTAGCATTTACAAAACTTTAGTACATTATTTTTTGATCATTTCTTATTTTCCACGCTTTAAGGCGCTAACAGCTCAAAGCAGCGCAGTTAGATTTTTGAAATTAAAATTATTTTACGCTGATATCGAGTAGACAAAATATCTAAAAAAAAATTAAGTTAGTAAAAAAGGTATAATTTCAATTAAGTTTTGCAAAAGGTTATAGGAAAAGGTTTTAACTTTTTTCACTAGCAAATTCAGTTTTAGTGTTCGAATTATATGGTTTCACTAAATTAATTATAATTTATACATATAATACAAGTGTAAAAATCGCATCAATAGGTCCTACATACAAAAATACTAAACTAATGGAATTTTTGAAGACGGAATTACGGCCGCGTTCTATACTCGATCTATAATCTAAATTTATTTCCAATCCAGATTTTGGCAAATTTAGATTGATTGAAACTTCTTTGTAAATGAATTATTACTACTTAAGGTAAAAGCCCCAATAGATGATCATGTATCAGATATGATTACTCCATGTATTTGTATATCTATATTCACTCTGTTTACACACTGTATACGTGCTAATGATAAAAAATCTGCGTTTACTGCACAAGACGTTATGCGTCAGAAATCAGAATTGCTAAATAATATGTAACTACTAAATGAATACATCAACCAATAGCGTGTATTTTTTCTTGATCTCCTTTGAGGTACAGTTACACATGCTCAAAAAAAGCATGCTTATTAGCACGCTTAAAACAAGCATGCTGTTTGAACTCGACACATTTGCTTTTATTAAGCATGCTTATTATAGGCATGCTTTTTAATAAGCTTGCTCAAAGCAAACCATTTAACACACATGCTCGATAGCACGGTCTGGAGACCCAGTATTCGACGTTTCTCTGTATTCCATGCAAAAGTGAAAAAAATGGAAAAACAAGTGGCCCTATCAATAGAATTGAATAAAATCATTTTGTTGATTGGCATACAATGTGTACAAAAACTTTTGACAAGAAAGAAAAAGAGAAGGAACAGGACGATTTGGGTTCGTGATTGGCTAAGTAGAAGAGAAATGCTTGGAGCAAGTAATCGATTGCTAGTAGAAATGCGAGAAGAAGATCTTGATGTTTACAAAAACCATTTACGCATGTTACCGCACCAGTTTGACGAGTTACTATCTAAAATTTAAAGTGCTATAAAGAAACAAGATACACACATGCGAAATGCTATTCCACCAAAAGTGAAATTGGAAGTAACTTTGAGGTATCTAGCAACTGGAGATTCGTTATACACATTAGGAGCCCTTCACAGAGTTGCAAGATCTACTATAGCTTTATTTCTACCTGAAGTGTGTAATGCAATATACAATGCTCTGAAGGATTATATGCGGGTAAGCAAAGTAAACTAATAATCATTAGTTAAAATCAAGTATTTATTTTTGAAAATTTAGTATAACATATCTTAGTTACATAAGTGAATTAATTACAAGTACGTAAGTGAATTTATTTGTGTCTATAGTAGGGGGTGTGGAAATCATTGTTTGTGTATTTCCAGTAGGAGGTATGAACGTTATCGTTTGTGTATTTTGGTAATGGTGTCGACGTCTTGCTGCAGTCAGAATTAATTGGATCTCATTTTGTATGTCTAATGCCTCGTACAATGGTAAGGTTCGCAATTGCGCTGCAACATTTTGAGCAAAATAATGAAATTCATCATACTCATTGTTATTTGCATTAATAGCAGCACTAATATTTTCCAAACGATCGAGTGCGTAGCTTATCGGTTCTTCTTGTAATCTTCTTTTTCTGCTTCGTGTTGATGAGCTATTAGATGAACGTGATTGTGGTCTATTATCAACTGTTGCACTCGGGGAGGGTGACGACAGAGTCACCGACTGCGGCGTTGATGAGTTAGGATATGAAACATCAGGTTGTGAATCCTGCGATGTATCTTCTGCATTCTGTATCTGTAATAAAACGAATTGTCCGTTAAGTTTATAAGTTTCATATTAATGAAGATTTTTTTTTCAGATTCCTCATCATGAAGATTGGAAACGCATTGAACATGGATTTAGAACCAAATGGAACTTTCCAGGTTGTGTTGGAGCGATGGACGGCAAACATATAAATATACTCGCTCCTGATGATACTTCCGACTACTATAATTACAAGGGCGCCCATAGTATTATACTTATGGCATTAGTAGATGATGACTACTGTTTTTCGTACGTTAATGTTGGGACTAATGGTAGAGCTTCTGATGGAGGTGTTTTTCAACAATCAAATTTAGCACAAGCCTTGGAAAATAATAGTCTTAATTTACCGAACCAATCAGTTATTGTGGCAGACGCTGCTTTTCCTCTAAAGTCATATCTTATGAAGCCCTATCGAAGAACTCCAACTCGTAAAGAAAAAATATTTAACTACCGTTTATCGAGAGCCAGACGAATCGTTGAAAATGCGTTTGGAATTTTAGTAACAAGATTTCGAGTTCTTATGAATGCTATAGATATGACCCCCAAAAATGTCGATAGAATTACATTAGCTGCCTGCTCTTTACACAACTGGCTTCGGAAAACATCTGACATGTACATCACGCAAAGATGTGTAGACTTTGAAGATATACAACAACGTGTTGTTGTACCAGGATCATGGAGGGCAAAACTGCAGAGAACTCTGGAAAGTTTACTACCTTCACGCTACAGTAATCATGCTTCTCGACGGGCGGAAGCAATAAGAGATGCCTATGCGCAACTTTTTATAACTACAGAGGCGGTACCGTGGCAAGATCATATGATATAAATTCACCAACATTATTTCATTGTTTTGCCTCAAAAACAACACTTTCTTAATTTTAAATCCCTATACTTATAAAAAATATGAATAATTATACTATAACCTAAGTAGAAAATGTTGTAAGTCAGCCTCATAAGTAGCTGACCACTTTAGTACTTTGTCAAAGTAACAAATGTACGCTTGGTAAATTACGTAAATTTGTTAGTGTGACAAGGTACTAAAGTGGTCAGCTACTTATGAGGCTGACTGCTCAAAATTTTTTACTTAATTATTTTAAGTAACTATATTTATACAATAAAGAATATGAATAATATTAAAAATAATTAAGTGCATTTTTATTTAATAAAAACCGTGACTCACCACTTCCATAGAAATAGGTTCCCTGTACTCGCCACTGTCTCGAAGGAACGCATGTAGTTCGTGAAACCAGGTTGCGGATGGATTGTATACGGTAGCGGTACCAGAACCTGATCTTTTAGAACTTTCAATTTTCTTTAATTCAGTATGGTAAGCAGACCTCAAGTTTTTTATTTTGGTTTTTATAGTTTTCAGAGTTAAAGTGGGGTCGTCCATGTTGCTTATTAAATCCTGGTATGCATTATTTCTCGAAACATTGTTTTTATATTGTGGTGAGCGAGGATTCCATAAGCATTCGTTGTTCCGATAAAGAATGACAAATTTCAAAGTCTTCTCGTCGCCCCAGCGAGATATTTTTGGCGCGAAATCGGCGCGCTTGCTCCTGCTGCGAAACTGATCGATACTAGCATGCTCAATAAGCAAACCTGTCCACACGCGCTTAAACCACGCCCCCCGCCACCCGCGCCGCAGGCAGCATGCTCAAAAATCGCACGCCTGTCGATTTTTGAGCTTGCTCGAAATAAGCATGCTAATTTTAAGCAATGCTTGGACACACGTGCTTGTAAGTAGCAAGTGCTCGGTTGAAGCATGCTTGCGTGCTTGAAATAAGCATGTGTAACTGTACCTTTACTCTCTCTCATAGTCTAGTCGACAAGTTGAAAATGGAACAAAATAGAGATACTGCTCTTAAAATTATGTGCGATAGCTCATTCGAACCGGAATGACGCCTAGAAAAATGTGCTAAAAGCGTGTATTAGCACATAAAAAATTGCAAAAGTTATAGACCATTAAAGATGAAAAAAAAATGGAATTTAGTTTTTACCAATATTTAATAAACTATTAATATTTAAGAAATTTCAAATAAAGATTCTGAAAGAGGAGGAAATTTCCAATAAAAACTCTCAGCTCCCGGAACTCTATCTCCATTATTTATAACTTTAATTTAACGCTGAAAATAGGTCTGTGCGTGACATTTTTAGGATTCGCGCGTGGCGTCAAAAGCGACTACGGCACATTAATTAATTTATTTAAGGTATTGAATATTTTTTTTAAATTTGAAAAAATTATGGTGTGTTCTGAACACTATAATTAATTTATTCCCGTTGGAAATTTTACTTAAAGTTAATTTTTCAACAAGTTAAATAATTGTTAACTAACGAAATTTTCTCGAACGACCGTCTTAATTGTAAGTGAAAAAAAATGTTTTAATAATGGTCGTAAAAATATTTCGCTTCGTAGAGCCTTTCTTACATACATACTTAACAAGATCGTGCCATAAAAGTTAAAGAAATATTTATACTTTGTTTATAACAATTTTTTTACTTAAACAAAAACTTAAAAATCCAAGTAATGTTGTTAAAAAAATTTTTTTTTCTAAATCATCATATTATCGTTTTTATATTAATACAAGATATTTATTGATTTGCAAAAAAAATTTCCCGCCATTTGTTGATAATTTTTTTAAACAAATTGATTAAATCAATTGTTTTAAAAAAAATTTTCACAACTTTATTACATTACAAATATTATGATTGTTTAAAAAAAAAATTTCCTTAATAACATATTTTAATTGTTTATAATCGTTTTTTTTATATTCTATTGTTTAAATAATTAGTTAAGAAATTTTTTTTTTCTAAAAATCATAATTGACAGTCCTCTATAAAGTAACAAAAAAATTTTTTTTTTTAATCAACAATTCTATTGTTTATTAACTTACCAATTTGTTATAAACAAATGTTCAACTTTTTTATATTTTTTTTCTAAAACTTCTAAAATTAACAAAAACAAACATATATAACAAAGTCTATAAAAAAAAAAAAAAAAAAATTTTTTAATAAAAGTAATATTCATGATAATCAAAAAATTTAAAAAAATGTTTTTCTATATTTTGTTATATATGGTTGTTTTTGTTAATTTTAGAAGTTTTAGAAAAAAAAATAAAAAAGTTGAACATTTGTTTATAACAAATTGGTAAGTTAATAAACAATAGAATTGTTGATTAAAAAAAAAATTTTTTTGTTACTTTATAGAGGACTGTCAATTATGATTTTTAGAAAAAAAAATTTCTTAACTAATTATTTAAACAATAGAAATATAAAAAAAACGATTATAAACAATTAAAATATGTTATTAAGGAAATTTTTTTTTTAAACAATCATAATATTTGTAATGTAATAAAGTTGAGAAATTTTTTTTTAAAACAATTGATTTAATCAATTTGTTTAAAAAAAATTATCAACAAATGGCGGGAAATTTTTTTTTGCAAATCAATAAATATCTTGTATTAATATAAAAACGATAATATGATGATTTAGAAAAAAAAAATTTTTTTAACAACATTACTTGGATTTTTAAGTTTTTGTTTAAGTAAAAAAATTGTTATAAACAAAGTATAAATATTTCTTTAACTTTTATGGCACGATCTTGTTAAGTATGTATGTAAGAAAGGCTCTACGAAGCGAAATATTTTTACGACCATTATTAAAACATTTTTTTCACTTACAATTAAGACGGTCGTTCGAGAAAATTTCGTTAGTTAACAATTATTTAACTTGTTGAAAAATTAACTTTAAGTAAAATTTCCAACGGGAATAAATTAATTATAGTGTTCAGAACACACCATAATTTTTTCAAATTTAAAAAAAATATTCAATACCTTAAATAAATTAATTAATGTGCCGTAGTCGCTTTTGACGCCACGCGCGAATCCTAAAAAATGTCACGCACAGACCTATTTTCAGCGTTAAATTAAAGTTATAAATAATGGAGATAGAGTTCCGGGAGCTGAGAGTTTTTTATTGGAAATTTCCTCCTCTTTCAGAATCTTTATTTGAAATTTCTTAAATATTAATAGTTTATTAAATATTGGCAAAAAACTAAATTCCATTTTTTTTTCATCTTTAATGGTCTATAACTTTTGCAATTTTTTATGTGCTAATACACGCTTTTAGCACATTTTTCTAGGCGTCATTCCGGTTCGAATGAGCTATCGCACATAATTTTAAGAGCAGTATCTCTATTTTGTTCCATTTTCAACTTGTCGACTAGACTCTCAATCTTTCTCACTATAGCTCTCTCCCACCTCTCACTCCATGGCACTGTGCGTAATGAGACGTTCGCTCTATCTCACTCTCTCTCTCGATTTTTCTCACTTGTTTGCTCCCTACTCTCGCTTCATGGCTATTTGCTTCATGCTATGTTCGCTCTTCCTCACTCTTTCTCAATCGGTCTCAATCGCTCTTTCCCTTTTCTTCGACAAAAACGCTGCACATCTTCGTGACGCTAATATTATTATTATTATTGCGTTTCATCATTATTGAAATTTCTAATTTTCTGTTGTGTCTGAACTGACAAAAGTTCTATTATTTGTTAGTGCCTATAGTACTTAGTTAATTTTTAGTATTTTTAAAAAAGTAATTTTGTTTTTCCGAATGATACTCTTATGTTTGTTTTTTGTTTAGTGTGTAAATTTTATTCACTTGTAATGCATTCTTGTAAATTTAGGGTCACCTGTTAGGATAGGATTGTTTTTCATAAATAAAGAAGTATTTAATAAACCTAATACACGATGACGTAATATAGGTTCTCACATCGGTCTGGCGTGATCGGTGACGTAGCGCAGGTGCCTCAGAGTGGGACAGAACGCATACTCCGTATTCACATCTCTCTGACGAGATCGGTGACGTAGCGTAAGCGCGGCCGGTGCAGCCGGTACGCGTTATAGTGAGACAGACATTATAGGCGTGTTAGTCTGAGTCTCGTAGAGATTTTATTAATATCAAAGAAAAAACTTGAATTAAAATCAAAGAAAACTGCATAAATAAAAAATAAATAAATAATTATAATTGCATAAGTTGTTAAAAAATGCTATGCAATTGCTTTACCACGGCAGTGCCCGAGTGAGACACGTTTTTTTTATTTGTATTCGTGATATAAAGGCAACATATTAAATGATTGGTAGGTACATAAAGTAGCTAACGCAGTTCCAAACACGTCCTTTGTCCATCCTTGTCGTAGATGTAGCGAGCAACTAAATAAAGCGAGAGGATAGAAGATGGCTACCACTGGTTCCGTTTTAACTCGCCAATATCGTGGCGAGGGCCTCTGCCTTCTAGGCGCCTCGCGAGAGTCTGGAGCCGGCTTTATAAGTCATAGTTATAGTTACTATAGTCTATGGTTTTTATAATTTGAAACATTTGGCATCTCTATCAGTCAATTGTCAAATGCCTTCAATTGAAATTCTGAGTTAACGAGAGTAAAACAATTTAGATTTCTTTCATTCACGACATCGCACACGAGTACTCACATTTTTCTATCCGTGAATATTTATTTAATCCCAAGAACTGTACTCAGTTTATAAATAACAGCTTCTTATATTTTAACCAAGTAATATGAGAGCGAAGGTATTTATTTATTCCTACAAAGAATACCTTAGTTTCTGCTCGGAACGGTGCTGGCTAAACTTGTGCTTTTTTATTTCAGTGGCGTAAGAAGCGTATGCGGAGGCTAAAGCGTAAACGTAGGAAGATGCGTGCGAGGTCTAAATAGACAGGTGAGCCGGTTATTTTAGTTTCATATATAGTAGTATCATTATAAGTAACATTACAAGTAAACTCAAACGTGCTCAAGCGGGACGTGAAGTTTATTATGTTCCAAGTAATGCCTACAGCTTTTCGTATAAATCAACACAAATAAACGTGTAATGTGGGTAACCTCAAAATATTAGTGAAGGAGACCTTATATAGTTTTCTCCTGTTTGTTACAATATCTTGGTTTCCCAATGGTTTTATTAATTTTTAATGTCAATCTATATCAATATAGGTCCTAGTTATTTTTTTAACTAACTAGGTGTTATATTTAACTAAACGCACGTTAAGAATAATATACAACTAGATAGAATTTCTTTATTTTATATGTAACAAGATATGCATTTGCTACTATTTTGCAGGTTCCATTACTGTTTGTTGTCTTGAGTAATAAGAAACAGCTTTTTTTAGCTTGAAGCTTAATTCAGTACATTAATTTATCTAACACCACATGGTTATTTGCACTGTGCACATGATAAATTTCCACGTTAATATTACCTGTATTGCCTCAACTTTCTTGTTTTCATATTAGTCTTAAAGAAAGCACAGTAATCCTCCAAGGCAGTTATTTTTCTTTTTATAAGAATAATGCAAAGAATTGGGGGAGATATTATTTATTTCTATCCACCCTTGTTATTATTGTTTATTGCAAGGACTAAAGTGAAATTACAATTATAATACTACTAAAGGTCTTAATTTTATGAAAGATATTGTGATACATATCCATACTTACTTTTCCAGCTTGAAACTGAACTGATGCTAAAAGGCTGACAAATATGAAAATATGTAATTCCTAAAATACTGCAATTTTAATTATTGAAATAAAACAATTGGCATTCAGAAGTAAACTACATATAGGTACATTTGTTGTAATTTCGTGGAAAATTTGTTTAATAAACCTTTTTGTTTTTCAGGTACAACTGTTGAGGCAGAGGTTTACACTTCAGACTTGCATTTGTATCAAATAAAAATTTAAAATCCAAAATACAGTTTTATTTTTATATTCAATCTCAAATCTTTTCATACACATAATAGTATCTAAATTATCTCACTTATTTTAATTATTAAACTCTGGCAACACTATATTTGTATATTGATAATAATTATGGAAGAAAATTTAAAATATTCTCCGTGTGTGATTTGAATTCAATATAAGGCTTTGGCACAATACAATCTAATTCAACCTTACGTCAATTGGGATAATTGCATTATCATATAGTTTTAAATTACTATAATCTTCGGAAGCAGTAATTTTTGTTTTACATATACTATAGTTTAAGAAATCGACTGGCCAGTTACAAAAATCTCGATAACTTTCAAATCTTTCGTGACAATAATAGAATAGTAACCTCATCGATAAATTCATTTTTATAGACGTTTTTTAAATTTATTATTTTGAAAAGCTGTTCAAAATGGGTCGAATGGCTGGAATTAAATGGGAAAAGGCAATGCAATGTCGACCAATTCATAACATAATATCGTCAGATTTTCCTAAATATAACCCGCAACCATGGAAATTCATGGTACCTCATTTCTAAATAATTCCCCGTTATATTTCATAGTTGTAAATAGACGATCTTTTAAAATGGTTGCTAAAACTTTATAATATTGGGCAACATAGGTGCTGCCTGCTGACATAAGCAGGAAGGCATAAGCATTTAAAATTTCATTTTTATAGGAAGGTCCGTCACGTATTCCATGGTTATTATCCTACGAATATCAGCGAATGTGGGTAGAAGAAAGAGAAGCATGGAAAAAGAGAATGTATCCTGAGAACACAACTGTAAACGTAGATATTGTCAAACGTTATGTTTTAACATTTAAATCGAATCATCAGCCACCGAAACCTGAACAGAAAAAGCCATTTAAAATGAAAAAGTAAGCGACCAGAACGATACTTACTTGGTATTTTGCAAACTAATGTTTTGACCACTCTTATTTTGTATGGCAACATGAACAAAGCCAAATATTACGTCCTTTCTAACCGCAACAATAAAAATGTCCTTCCATTAGGAAACTTAAAATTCAACTTTCTAAAATGTTTCTAAGGTATACTATATATATATATATATTTTGTACTACTACATAATATATGAAACCTGCATGAAGTTACCAAGCTTTGAGCTTTCTTACGTGTAAGTAGTATCACTGTTATTTCAGATTTGAGGGCATTGGGAGCCGTACGAGCTCCAAACGACCAGCCAAGGACAAAGCCATGAATTTTAATAAAAATAAAGAAAAAAGCTAAACTGAATATGCTATTACTTCTTCAAAGCTTATTATAGTTCTATGCCAGTCCCTGTATTGGAAGGTCCTCAAAAATGTAACACTAAACTGGTCGAAGTTTCAGATCTTAAACTACATTTCTTTAGATTTTGAAACTAAATCTAGTCTATCTTTTGTGAACCAAAATAATCTTTTTTAAACAGATTTAGGTATATATAAATGTCAAATGTGTTGTAAACAAAGTTAAATGCTTGTAAAAATTAAAACAATTATTTAGGGATAATATGTATATTAATGAAAGTTTACAAATTATAACTGTCGTTTTCAAATCTTAATTAAAAATTAAACTAAATGATCCCATTGGTTGGTTACTATTGTGTTCTTCAAATAGGCTATTTTTTTATGGTATTAAAATATTGTTAGTACATATATGAAACAATACCCCGTCGAAACATTCTGATGATAGCTTACCATGAGGAACAATTATAATTTCACAAAAAATTTATTTGTTTCATCATCAATGTTAAATGGATTCAAGCTTAAGTTACATATAAATTTAAAATTTATCCCTTTTCCCTGATCATGTCAATATTTAATTTCCTAATATGGTGCCCAGCTGAAATATGAAACACACTACAGATGATAATGGCAGTTGAGAAAAGCAATATCACAATCAGTCCACTTCTAATAAAAATTGCCTAATATATAAGTTTCAGTGCAATTTTAATCTGGTCCTAATTTTTATATTGTTCATTTAAAATATAATCATTAATCAAAGAGACTGAAGCGCCATTGAAAACATCTAAACATATGATTTAGTACGAAATATGGCTTAATTATGTAAGAAGGATTCATATAAAACAAATTGTGTAGTGATTAGTTGATTACAGTAAGATAGATTATCAGATGCAAGAGTTTGCACTTTTCTATAAATTATTGCCATAGATAGTGTTTCTTCAATCTATGTGATAATGTTTACAAGGTTTTAATGAATCTATACTAAATTAAAACATTCTAAGATGACTATTTTTTGAGTTTTAAAGTAATATTTGCCGATATTATATTGGAATGAAAGGACGGCTTTTAACCAAACTGGAAACTGAATCCATGTCCGGGGAAGCCTCCATGAGAAAAATTGAATTGGGGATCCACTCCACCGCGGAAGAACGTCTGGTACACAACATTGGGGTCAAGATCTGAAACAATTTGATTTTAGAATCATTGTTGTTGACATATGGGTGTAGGATTTAGCACCAACTTTGAGTGCAAGTTTGAGGGTAGTAATGAAATACTTTGGGTATATATTGCTATATATAAAGCTTTCGTCTGACGATTTTGCTACAGAAGATTGCAATACCAAGAGATGTTATTGTAATATACAAATCATTAATAAAACAAACACAAAAATATATCTGCCCCATGCTTCTTTACAGGGTTTTTCACTTCCTACAAATATAAATCTATGGGTGACAAGAAAATGTATGAAATATACCTCCAACGCCTGAACCATCATCATCCAAATCCTGTCCATGGTCATATCTGGCTCGTTTCTTGGGGTCACTGAGAACGCCGTAAGCTTCACCCACGTCTTTGAATCTCTTTTCCTGTTCACGGCGTTCATTGTCCGATGCGTTCGCGTGTCTGTCTGGATGGTGGACTAAGGCACGTTTTCTAAAATTTTTATAATGATTTCAGATGCAACTGTTTAGCTTCTATGTTAATATGGGATATAGCAAAGCAATTAGTTTGTGCTTAAACTTGGTGGATGTTTGTATGATAACCCACATCTACTGCCTTAATGTCAAAAGTGTAGTTCAGTTGTTACAGACTTATTTCTTTATTTATACATACATATTATCCTTACATATTAGGCCAATACGAAAATGTTGAGAAAAAATAAAATATAATAAAGTATATAATTACTAAACACATAATATAAACAATATATATCGTATAGAACTCATTCAAAAGAAATTTATCAGACACCTCCAATATAAAGATAAGACTTTCCTGGCTGACTACTTAACTAGATGTAACCATTTCCACATTCTTCCTCTCTCAGTTAGGCGTTAGATTGCAGATATTACATATTTGATAAATTTAGCTACAGGTAAAGTTGACTGTCCTGAGCTACTAAGTAAGTTGTGTCTCCGTGTGCATAATAGGGCGCTAAAAAATATGCACCTATTGTACACACCGAAAGTTAACACCAATTACAGAGGGAACAGCTTTATGGTTAGGGCGGCGAGTAAGTTTAATAGTCTAACTTGTGATATTGACCTATTCGCCTCAAGCGTGGGGTCGGCAAGGAGAGCTATGACATCTGAGCTCCTCAGTGGAATGAATGATGTACCATAAGTTTTTGTAAGTGTACATATAAGTTATACTAAACTGTTTAGCGTTACTTAGCCTATTTTTACTTAGTTTATTACTTTCTTTGATATATATTTATTTAGTTGAATAAAATCATTTGATTGTTACCAATACAGTTAATATTATTAGTTCTTAACTATTTGTAAAGATTTTTTTAATGGCGTAAAAGAATATTGTATTTAGTAAGTAAGTTAGTAATAAGCTGTAAATCTTTCTCAATAAATAAAATAAAAAAAAATAAAAATATCGCCACTATGAATTCACTCTGCGAACATAAACATGTTGATAGTGTCGAAGACAACATTCAGTAGGCGCAACGTCTTTGTTAACGTTGATCTGTGCAAGAGACTGGTTCTGGCCCTTGGCATCGCAAACAACCTTGGCCTTCGCACATATCCCATAGGTACAATGAAAGTTTCATTATGAAACCGAGTTCTTGGAGTACTCTTGGATTGCACACTACCCCTCACACCAAATGATATAACGCAGAATTTTTTTTTTTTGGATTAAATAAACTACTACTGGAACAATTCTCAATCTTTCACCATTAGATTGCTACATTATCGCTGAGTTATAAAGGCTGTTTTATTTACAAAATTAAAAATTAAGCCGTGACAGACGGCTAATATGTTATATATTTTAATCGTAATTATATTTAATTTTTTTCACATTAATGCAAAAATTAAACAGGAGTATAAAGGTTGCAGTATATATCAGTTTCACTTATCAGTGTTAACCAAATAGCATTATTTTTATAATTGATATACGGAAACCACAAAGATTATAAACACAATTTAAATATTGTTCCAGTAGGAAATGTAGTTTATATTTTCCAAGCACCAAAACAGAAACTCATTTTAAATTTACAAGAATTACTTACCTGTACGCCTTTTTAATATCATCATCAGATGCCGTCTTTTCAATGCCAAGAATTTTGTAATAGTCCTTGCGTTTTGATTTTTTAAGCGCAATCTTTGCTTCATGCAACAACTGCTTGTTTTCCTTCGTTTTATCGATTTTGTACAATCTTTCATAATCTTTGACTGCTTCCTCAAATTCTCCAAGTTCTGTGTAACATTTAGCGCGACGTAATAAGGCTTTTACATAGTTTTCATCTAATTCAAGAGCAGCTGTGCAAGCATCTGCAGCTTCCCTTGTCTGGTTAAGTTTGGCACACACTGTCGCCTTGTTAAAGTATAGTTTAGCATTAACTTTACGATTGTTTTTGTCAATAGTAAGAGCTTCATTATATAAATGTAATGCTTGCTGCCATTGACCCATTTTGAATGCTTCATTTCCTGAAATATGTCAAATATGTCCTATTAGAACATGTTTATAACAGAATGACTATGAGTGCAGCTGGAATACTTTCATTATTGGTAAGGATAAAATTATTAATATTTAAGTAAAACCCCTCACAGTTCTATGTTAAAAATTGTCAGACTACACATCCTTAACTACAAATTTATAAAAGGGTACCTACCTTAGTGATATTTCATAAATTATGAACTAAATAAATTGTGTTATAATACAGTAAATATACATGTTGGCAGTAAAACTAAAAAATAATTCTAAGCCAAAAGATAAAAAATTATAATTACCTTCTTCTTTCTTCTGTTTTAAGAGCTTTGCTTTTTTGTAGGTTTCAATTGCCTTTCTGTGATCAGGGGCTAGTCTCAGTACTTGTTGGAAATGTTTGAATGCTTGTTCGTCTTTATCCTATAATATTAAATTACAATATAAATCCCTCAAAGTATCAAATACCATATACACATTAATTAAATAAATTAATAGTGCAGTAATACTAAATAACAACAGTTTCATTTATTAAATTACTTAAAAGTTTTGGCTATAAGTTTCTGTGAGTGATGAACATTTCTGGGCCTGTGGGTTATATACTCTGCAAACTCCAATCTTTGTAAATACATTATTATTAGGCCACCAGTTTGAGTTTGCCACGCCCAAATAAACAAAACCTATTGATAGCATCAGGCTAAGGTCTATAAAAATGTCACTGTAGAATCTATTTAATAAAACAAAGTTCATACCTCAAAGTAAAGGCACAGTCCACGAACATAAATGGCTTCTGTATCAAAACTATCAAATCTCAAGGAATCATTTGCAATTTCTTGAGCTTCCTGACATCTACCAAGCATTGCTAGGCACTCTGCTTTTATAAGTTTTGCTCTGAAACAGAATGTAACTTAAAAAATTCTTTAGAAAATTTATAGCTATTTATGTGGTGCTTTGATAGGTTTCTGACACCACACCAGACATTATATGGCAACATAAATTATTTTAGTGGGATGTTGTTTCATCAATATAGAAGTTACATAGAAGCATTAAGCATTAGTTAAGGCAAGGTTATTGTACCAAAGTTTCATGTTAATGGGTACCACATAACATATTATAAATATTGGTTGGAATTAGGATTGAGATTTAGAAAATATTTTCATTATTTCTAATTATGTAGGTATATAAAATATAGAGTTCAAACCTAGAACTAGACGGACTATATTCAAGACAGCGGTCCATACAGAACACAACACGTCTGTGATCATTAGCTTCCATAGCATTTTGGGCATCTTCATGTAATCTTCGAAGTGATTCAAGAGCACGCTTCTCATTCAAAGCACAGTCAGCACCACCCAATTCAGTGGCACGGGTTATAGCTTGTTCTGCCCCTGATAAATCACCTGGGAATAATATTTATACAAATTTATTTATAAACTTTTAAAATTAAAATTTAATTGGTATAACTTTCATTATATACACATAATTGAAAATAGTACATATAGAGTTACCTAATGCAATACAACACTTTGCCATTCTGATATACCCTTTTGTGAATGTAGCATCAAGTGCAACTGCTTTCTGAGCATCTTCAACAGCTTTCTTATACATGCCAAGCATCATGTAACAAGCAGATCTGTTTCCATAGTATGCAGCATTCTCTGGGCACAGCTTTATAGACTCTTCATACATAGCCAGAGCTCCTTTGTAATTTTTGAATTTGTATAAATGGTTTCCGCTTTCTTTTTTCTCTTCTGCCAACCTGAATAATATAATATACAGCATGAATCATAATTATTTATATATCCACAATACTATATTTAATAGGCGCAACGCATATTCTATCCCGTCATGATTTCTAAAAGAGTGAAGTATAACTATGAATCGTCAAAAGGGGGAATTAGGTATAAATTGTATCAAAAGAAATGCAAAACAAGTAGGTCAAATGTCAAGGGCCTTTAAATTCTTACCCACATGTTCAGATTAATATCTCAACAACACTTTAAAAAAATTTAAAATATAATAATAAACTATGGATTAGATTTGCGAACGAAAACAGAAGAAAATTTAAAGTACTATGTAAGATACATTCTTACTTTTCAGGGGTTTTTGGCACTAAGTCATCTATTGTGAGATCCAAATCTGCAACCTCAGATGCTGCCATTTTTGTATATTTTACTTAAAATTACACTGCTTTACGGAAATAAAACACTTGCAAGTTATTTATTTGGCGACACAACACGGAACCATAAAAATACCAAAAAAATCAAGAAAGTAATTTTTAATTTGTCCACAGATATTGGCTTTTTAAACGGCACCCAGTGTTGCCAACTGCTTGCCAGCGGAGCTATCATAATCACAGATCAGAAGTTAGTAATATGTTAAATGTTTACTATATTTATATATTTTGAGTCAACTGTTGAGGAATACTTTTAGAAAAGAAAATAAATGTACTTTAATTATTTTTGGTTTAGCGATAATTTATTTTTATCAATAAAGGACGATGTTAAAAAAAAAGAAGCAACCCGCAAATCATATATTTATTATTGTTTGTTATTATTTTTTGTAAACTGTAAATTGTGGCATGATGTCTTGTATAATTAGATGGTGAAAATCCCATACACTTTTTAGAACCCAAACGAGAAAAAGTGCGTGTGTACATGTGTCAGAAGTACCTAATACTTCTTTGGCAAACTAATTTTTAAGTCTTGTTCATATTTATACAAATCTCAAACTTAAGATTTCCGAGACTTAGAGGGAGGGATAAAGGAAGATATGTTAGGAATTTAATGAATTTAACTGTCATTAAAATATTAAAAGTGTTGAAAATCAATACAAATTATATATTTTTTTTAATTTATTTCTTCGATAATAAAAACACGTGGCATTTTAATTTACAATTCTTCATTTGAGATTTCAATAAATTATTTTGCATAAAATATTTAATACATACTAATATTTCATAAATTTTTTTTGCGAAATTTTAAATATAAAATTTCTATAAGGTAATTCGCCCTTTTCACTCTCTCTCAATCGGTCTTAATAGCTCTCTCACTGATCTTCGACAGAAATGCTGCACATCTTCGTGACGTTCCGTAAAAAAAATACCGACATGCGCCTAAAGAAGTTTCACTTCAACAACATATTTTATTTTCATAGATAAAAAGTATCAACAAAGTAAGATACTAGCCCGGAAGAAAACTACTGACAACCTAGTACCTACCTAAATGTATCTAACAGGACAACATCGTTTTCTGTCTTTTTGAACTGACTTTATTACGCGTTAGGAAAATGAAAGAAATAAAGGACTAACATATTCCTTAGTTTGTTTTTTTATAATAATTATAAGGAGAAAATAGAGTGCGTTTTCCAATTACAGAGCATTTTGCGACTCAGTGCCGCACGATGCCGCATAATTCTGAAGCTTAATTGGAACGTGAATTAGTTTTCAAATGCATCAGCAGAGTGCGCTAAGTCAGTGTTGTAAAAAAAATGTTATGAATTGAGTTAGCAACCTCATTAATGTATAAATAATGTGGTAAACAATAATAATTGGTTGAAAACTTTTTACGCTTATTTTAATCATCAAATTATTTCATTAACATTTTTTTTATTGAAATAATAGAAAACCTTTAGAAGAATATAAGGTTTTAACAAGCTAAATTAACAGTAAAATATTTAGTTTCATGTAAGAAGTTTACATCATTTACGTTTTAAGTAATATTTTTTAATGATTTCTAAAAAAAAAAAAATACTTTTCAAAACCATTGCAATTTTTTCTATAGTATAATCCTGTAAAATAAATTTGTTTATAGATCCGAATTTTAAAATAAATTTGTATTCATATTTTAAATGTGGAATATAAAAAAGTAACTATAAGTAAATATATTTATCATCCATACTAATATTTTTTTTTTAGCAGTTTGAAATAACTTTAATTATTTTCAAAATCTACGACGAAACGAAAGCCTTACAAATTTTTCAACAATAAATAATATTTACTAACGAAAATTTCGATAAATGCCAACTTAAAGAAAAATACTGGTCAATTTTCTGTCACTGTGTTGGTATTGTTTGCGAGAAGCTCGCGAGAGCATTCGTTTTGAGAGTGCTCAATTGTGCGAAGCGTTGCTGTAGTTGGAACACTCGACGTTGAGCATTATGCCGCAAAATGCGCTCTAGTGCTGTAATTGGAAAACGCACATAAATTACTTGCAACTGTCATTCAATCACAGATTGTATTAATAAATCGTAAATCAAAGTCTCGCGCGGTTGTATCCGATAATCTTTTTAATTACTCTGTGGGTAAGATTTTAATTATTATTTCTGAATTCTGAGTGATTCTGACTTTTAGTTCTGAGGTTAAGGTATATAAATACGCTTAATTTTGTGTAATTAGTATAGTATTAAAAATGAAGTTTACTTTTCGAATAACTGTTGTCAATAAATAGTATGTACTTATGTTGAGAGCAATGGCTGAGTTTGAAAAAAGCGATATTGAGTGGCAACCATTAGCCCTGACGTTGGTCGAGTATCCAAAAGGTAAATAATCTGTATTTAAATTTTAAAGAATACTTTCAGTATATGGAGAAAGTCTAATCAATGCTGAATTGTCGTTTCAGGTGATTTGTGGGGAAAATTCTTTGCCATAACAAGTTTGGCACCATTTGGAATTGGGTCAGGCTTCATTACCTTGATTTTATTTCGGAGAGATCTTCACACTGTAAATATTTATTTTATTACGATATTGTTATTTGTTAAAATCAAACTAATTGGCCAATCTCGTACTCTTTTATCATACTTCGTCCTTTTACCATATTGAATAATATATATTTCTTACAGATTGCATTCTTTATAGGAACTCTGCTTAATGAATTAATGAATATTATATTAAAACATATTTTTTGTGAGAAGCGACCTTTATCAAGAGGAAATTTATACAATGAGTATGGAATGCCATCCTCACATTCACAATTTATTTGGTTTTTTAGTTTCTATGTTTTATATTTCTTCATATTCAGGTATGTTTAAAAAAACATAATTTTATTTAAGAATGTAAATATACAGCAAATATTTTTTTAAATATTGCTCCACAATATAATTTAAATATATAAAAACTTTACTCTAATGCTCTTATTATATTTTAAAATTACATTTATATTAATCTATTAAATTATTATTTAATCCCAATTTCATACTACTATTTTAGTTACTCTGTATTCCATAATACATATGTTATTTGTTTCAGATTACATCATATATACAACAACAATATTCTGTCAATAGTGGGAAAGGTCATAATAATGAGCAGCTGTTTTATGTTATCTTTGATTGTCAGTATGGGAAGGGTATACCTAGAGTATCATACATCCACACAGGTGATCTATGGTGGTATTGTTGGCTTTATAAATGCAACATTATGGTTTGGTGTTGTGCATAGAATTCTTACACCACTGTTCCCACAAGTTGCTAACTTGTAAGTATATTTATTTTAACAAGCATGAATGTGTAGTCTTTAGTTTAAGTTTCATATGTTATGGTTTATTGATATTCATATTTCTACCTGTGAAATTGTGAGTGTCTGTATGTCCAGCTTTGTCCAATTAATGATAATGCACTAACAATTAGTATGACTACTTTTAGTCAAATCCAAATTCCAATACACTGAAAAATATAGTAATATTATTGTATTAAAACAAAAACGGCTTTTAATCAAAATGGTTTTTTTATTTACAGGAAAGTCTGTGAAATATTGATGATAAGAGATACAACGCTTATTCCCAATGTTTTATTCTTTGAGTATACAAAATCCAGACATGAAGCGCGAACTCGGGGACGAAAGTTAGCAGCGTTAAAACCTGTTCGATGACGGTGCGCCTTCACTCGCGACAGTTCCATTTGTCGGAACAGAGGACGCGCGTGACGATTACTTACCGCCTCAGCTCTGGTACTTATCGGCGGTATACTTTTATATAAAACATATGGATAATTTACATATTTTTATATAGGTATTTTCATACAGCATAGGTTTAGGCATACTTAAGTACTGTAAATGAATTCATTTTTTTAATGTAATTTGGAGTATATGTTGGTGATTAAGTTCTTCCGATTCGTTATTTTAATGTCTTCCTTTAGATTTGTTATTTCTTTGTATTTATTAGATCTATTTAAATGTATTAAAGGTGTATGAAGGCTAGCAAAAGTTCGTTTAGATAAGTAATATTAGAAAATAAGCTTGGTACAGTACAGTGTATACTTTTGACTTTTAATAATCTTTAACAATAAACAATGTTTTTGGTATTGATATATGTACATATCACTAAAAGGTGTTATAAATTCTCGCAGGTTGTAAAACATTTTTGTTTGGAGTGTTTACACACAATTTTAATTAGTTTAAAACAGGAACTATATGATGCTTGTATATAAAAATTATTACAATAAACATTATTATTATTATTAAGTCTTAAATGTATGTTTAGATTTTGTCATATGTATTAAGTTTAAAAGCTGCAATAAAAAGTTCAATAAATATCTCAAACCCTATACTGGGTAGGTATGATTTTGTATTATAATTAAATATTATTAATTTATATCAATAGAATATGGCTGAATATTTTCTGCTATTAATACACAAATTGTTATAAGACTTATGAAGACTACAAATGGTGTGAAATCACTTGAATTTTATTTGTGATAACTTTTTACATATTTATTTAAATTATGAGTATAGGACTAAACATTATCTTATCAGTTGTTTAGTGTTTCGTACACATAATATATAAAAAAGTAACAACTCCAGTCTCCACCAATAAATTGTTTTGTTAAAACCTTCCAAGGTGTCTTGGATTATCATTACAAGCAACTTTTCTGACAGTGCAGGTTTCTATATGGGAAAAGATTTTAACAGTACTTTTTATTTTATCCACTGAAGACATACATACATTTCACTTAAGTACCAGTCGTATTGTAAAATAATATTAAATATGTCAGTCTCGGAATATAACTTGGTACGGACACGGAGCTTAGGTAGCTCCTATTTTCAAAACTTGATTTACTATTTTTTACAATGACTATCTAAAGATTTCTTTTATTTAAATGATAACTTTTCTAGTAATTAAAAAACTGGTTCTGAGACGTCCGCATGGTGAACAAAAATGCATATAATTATAGTATGTATTTATATAGATTGTGCAGTAGTTTCCCTTCCGGTATATCTTTTATGTATACTTCATTTGTTATGTTTTATAAAAGTTTGTAATCGCATGACTAGAATAATATATGTATTTCTAAAAGTTGTATGCAAAATATTCAATCAAATAAATTTATTTATTTAGATTTTTGCTACTTTTACTTATTAATGAAAATTTCGAGTGCAATTCGACATCCATAGGTTTACCTTGAAAAGAAAATTACCACATTATGAAAATGGTAGTAGGTATGGGCAAGTTCTTAATTGCGGGTATTCCATGTACTTTCATAAAAAGATTTTACAACGGAACCTGGAAATCATTAGACGGCATAACTATTAACAAAATTTACCATGTCCTTATCGATGACAGACACATGAGCTGTATTCCAGATGTGAGAGTATTTCGAGAAGCAGACATCGACAGCGACCACTGTTTACTCAGGATAGAAACCAAAATGAGCATTGTAAACAAAATAAAAAATATCGAACACAAGTAAGATATCATTGATGTAAAACTAGTGATATCTACCTAATTACAATAGGAGATTGCTAAGAATTTTTTTAGACTTGAAATTGATTGGTAGGTACTTACCAGAAAAACTTTAGAAGAGCACAAAACCACGATTAAAGAAGTAGGCCAGAAACCTACCCAAGAGAAAGCGAAACTGAAAATGCTAACTCCAGGATTGCGAGAAAAATACTGCATCCTTGCATTCAAAAAGAATTTAACCTTAGAGCAAAAAGAACGTCTCTCCGTCACTTCTTTCTCACGCGTAGATTCTTATAATAAGGACGGTTAAGATAGGCAATCAACCTACTGCGCAATTCCTGCTCGACGATCGGGGCAATTTCGTGACAGATGTAGAAGATAAGGCTGTAAAAAAAACACACAAAGGCTGCAAGAGTACATGCGGTAATTACCGATTATTTCATTTACTGTCTATAGCAAACATAGGGTTCTCATACGTGTTGCTAAGCGGACTGAACCCATACGCGGAACAAATTATCAGCGATTACCAGTGTGGGTTTCGATGACTTCGTAGCATTGTAGACCAGATCTTCCTCTTGCAGCAACTGATGGATAAGAAATGGGAATATTCTAAGATTCTAATACATTCCTCGTTCGTAGACTTTAGCAAAGCTAAATCAAATATGACAGTATTGATATACTCACTGTATATCCTCAATAAATTTGGGATCCGACGAAAGCTTATGTATGGCTACATACTGAAGTTAGATATCAAATTAAGTAGAAGGCGTGTCAGAGTTGGCGCGAAACAATCAGAGGAACTTGAGGTGATTACCTACTATACTCAGTCCAGAGCGATACTTTGTCCCTGTGCTGTTTAATTTGGCTCTAGAACACTAATATGGAAAGTGGTGGCGCTAGACATCGGGGTGAGACTAAATGGACAGCACGAAGTGATTGGCTGATGATTTTTCCCTTCTTAGCCAGAATAAAAAAGAAGTGGAGACATTGGCACAAACTGTAATAAAACAGCATATCTCCACAAGAAGCACTATGAAAACAAAATGCCAAGACCTGCGCATAGGGAATCTCTTTCAATGTCACATGTAAATTGGCTGTAGGTACTGTAACGGACACAAATACACAAGGGAAGAGGAAGTTAATATCCAGATTCAATAGTAGTAACCTTCATATCGATTTGTTGTTCAAGTCACACCTGAAGAACCCAAATATACGACATTCTATAATCGATACATCACAGTCTGACTTGTTTGTAGGTCGCACGTAGCTACATATCGGATCTGATTTCAGGCTAAATCTGTGCAGGTATACATTAAACGCCCCGTCCAGTTAAGATCTGCATTTTATGGGCTTGGTCTTTTTTGGCTAATAATTTTGTAGTCAATTTCGTTGTTTTGGCGGTATGAGCTTCTTTGTACCGTTTGTCCCACTCCGATATTATTTGCTTTCGAACTTCTTTCCTGATGTGAGAAAGTACCTAGTAGGATATTTACGTAGTCCATTTTCGTTTCCGCAGCCTCCTTTGCTAAGGCGCCCGCTTTCTCATTTGCCGGTATAACAATCATTGTAGTGCAGCTTTTCACAACATCCTAACGTCTAGGCTGCTTACCAGAATTATCAAACTCCGCATTCACAAAACTTTTATGCCTAAGACCCACACTATATGTGTGTAAAGATGTAAGACTTGGACGCTGACCATCAAAAAAGGAGAAATTATAAATAGCCGTAAGAAAGTTCTGTGAAAAATTCTAGGCCTGACAAAGAGGGAAGATGGAAGCTTAGGAAAAACGAGGAGACCGAGGAGCTGAGTAGCGAACCCTACAAAATTTGCTAAAAAGATAAAAGAGAGCTAAGAAGTAATGTTAAAAAAACGTATCTCGGTATAACGAGATATAGCTGATACGTCGCCGTGGAGAAGGATATACGCGAGCTCCTGATCGGCAAAGGTGGCGTTCTCTAGTTTTGGAAGTCAAGGTTCACTTTGGGTCGCTGCACCAGCGGACTAAGTTAGTAGGTGTGCACAGTCCCACAATAACTGGTTAAATACACATAAAAATAAATTTACCTGCAGAGGATAGGCATTTGTCGTTGACCGAGAAGTCACTGGAATCGGTAGAGTTACTGCATTCGGATAATTGTGCTAACCATTCCTGGAAGAAGATATACTATCAAACAAAATACTTAAGTATACATTTGAAGAAGATATTATTAATAAAACACAAAATAAAACTTTGCCAAAAACGTAATAAATTCCAATCAAAAGTCGAATTGGGAGAACAGAATTTTAAAAACATCTTTCTAATTTCTACCTTTTCTGGTGGTATCAAGCGGTTTACTTTTTTCAGAAATTCAAAGTGTGCTTTGTGGCCAATAAGATGTTTGGTAACTTCTGTCGTGGATAGAGTTTTGTTAGCAATAGCTTCCAAGGTTCCCGCCGGTTCTTGTAATAAGTTCGGAAACATAAGAGTTAATGGCTGAATTTGAGATTCGTTTTCCGGTTGTGCCTTTAATAAAGTGAATATATTGTTAGATATATTTTTTTCTATTAACAACCCATACATATTATTTTTTTTACAGAAATTTGAGAAAGCCTTCGGTATTTTAAATCAAATACTAAATAACGATTCAGCATGGCTCGGATCAGATCATAACAGAATTGAGTGCTTTTTAGGAAAGGGTAAAAATACTATAACGCAACTCACAATTTTTTCTCCTGAAGGAGTGTTGCAATAATTTGTTAAGTTTGTGTTATTAGAAGGTGTTCCTATAATGTCTATCCATTCGGAATCTTTAGCTACAAGAGCGCATCGCCGCGAATGTTGTAACGCATCATCTAATATGTTAACATTCTGAAAGTTATAAATAATATCTCGTAAGCCACACCAACTAGCTGAAATTACTGAACTGGACTAAAAATATATAAATTTCATCTAAACGATACATTTATTGAGTTGTAAAACAATTTAGCCATAAATAGATTAACTTATATTATATAGTTTCTTCGGGATTGGAACGTAGAGCTGCCTGTGCTAAACAGACTTGTGGGCCATCAACCAAAACTATTTACTAGGGACTTATGAATACCGTACCAAAAATTACCTCTAGTGATGCTCTTGAGTAGTTAGATTTTAGGAAGTTAGGGTGTTTTGGCTTTTTTGTTCTCTTTTTCTGTTGGTATTTACTGTTCATTTTAAAGATCAGGTAGGTTTATAGGTATTATTGGAAATAATTTTTAGTGCAGGTTCATATCATGACCAACAATAAACACAGACATATTAAATTTAATTATTACAATTTACTAAGTGAAATTAAACAAATTCATTTTTTGGGTAAATGACAAGAGAAAGAATAAAGTAGGTAAGTAGAAATGTTAACTGGATTCTTTGTTTACTATAGATAATGAAATAAAATTAAGTAGCAATACTGTTTTTCTAACCATAGAAAATAAATTAGTTTATTTTAAAACAAATGTCATTTATTTCTACAAGTTTTTCTTAATATCTAAGTCAGCTATGAGTAGTCATCATCTTCATCATCTTGTTTTGGAACCAATGGTGGTATATATGTTTGTGGAGCACCTTCAGGCCCCACAAGACCCTGTTGCTGCAATAATAGCCATTGCTGTTGTTCTTGCTTAGCTTGTTCTTCACGAGCCTATAAATATTAGTATCACATCACACAGAATAATAAATACTTAAATGATTTCATTGCAAAGTAACAAATTTTGTAACATGACTATAACAAGTATGAAATTTCAAAAGCAATGCACCTTAGCAAAAAGTTCTTGTTGTTGTCTCAATAATTCTTCTTCAGGAATACCAAGATTTTCTAGCCTAGTACTCTGCCTTCTTCGTTTAGCAGCAACGGCTTTGCAATCTTTTAATACAGCTTCAGCTTCTACTGTGTAATCACTGAAACCTAGCTTGTCTAGGGCTGAAAATAATAGAATTATACTTTATTTTATCTCTTAAGATGATAAGGCCTATCATTCATTCTGCACAAAATAACTTACCAGTAAGTACATGTTCTGCATTTATTGTTTTTTTATTGCTTTGGTTACATACTTCATTTGCTTCAGAACTAATTAGATGAATGAATTCAGTGCAGCAGTTTAAAATTAATTCTCTTGATTCAAAAGCCACTCTTACTGAGGGTACTAGTTCCTTAATCATTTTGTTAATACTTGCTCTTGGCAGTGTTAGTTCATCTTCTTCAGATGGCGGTGGACAGAGTTCTCGTTCGGGGCTGCCCATAACTTTTTTTTTCTTTTACATGTACACCTGAGAATCAATTAAAGTTAGTGTCTAACTGTTAAATTTCAATATCGGCATTATTTGAATTTCAGTATCAAAAGCACTAGACAGCAAAGTACCTGTTCTTTATTTTTAATTAAATACGATATGAAGTGTACATTTAAGAAAAAATATTATATTAACTCATCCACATTGTTATAAATAGTAAAATTATACATCAGAATAGATTTTATAGTTTTAAATAGTAAAATTATCTCTTATTTAAACTATAGTCGAATTTTTAATCAGACGATATCAAGACTTTGTTTGTTAGTTTTTAATGAAATTAAAGTAGTGTTGTGACAAAGTAAAACCCCCGAATTAATGATCGGTGATGGCACTAGTCGCCGCCCCGCCCTTTTAATAAGACGTCAAAAACTGATTTTAGTTACATAGTACTAGTACCTAACTTATATCAGAGCACTTTTATACAATTTTGAAATAGAAATAATATTCTTTTATTGTTTGAAATGATTGACTATTCACACTCATTGTTCATTCATCTGATTGAACAGAACTGAACGCATCACTATTACTTTAAATATGGCAACATTATTTTACAAAGTGACATTCTCTGTCAGTTGGCTTCGTCTAATTAAAAATACGACTATAGTGATTAGTCGACAGAAATGTCATACACCAAATACCAATACGCATGTTAGTTAATCTATGGTTACCAAGCGACAACAGTCACTTTTCCCAGTTATGACTTATGACAGATGTTGTGACTAAAGACTTTAGTAAACTCGAATTTTAGGTTTCTGACTTCTGTTTACATCTAGAAGTAGAGAGTTAGAGAGTAGAGACTGATAAGTGATAACCAAAATCAGACGATCGTCAAATTGTTGTGAATTTATTTGCAGTTTCATTGCATAATTTCGTAACATTTGAATTTAGAACGTTATTAGAATTGTTTTGTGGTTAAATGTATAATATATAGTAAAATGGTATTTTTTTTTACAAGTAACGTGGTATCGCCACAGGTTACTCTGTTTATGGGTGCCGACAAACATGAAAGTAATTTTTGTATATGTATTTGTATTTAGCTGAATAGTATTCACCAAATATACCAAATTCTAAGTAACATTTTATTTTAGATGAAGACTTGATTAAATGGGGTTGGCCAGAAGATGTTTGGTTTCATGTTGACAAAGTATCATCAGCTCACGTGTATCTCAGGTTATCGGCTGTAAGTAAGAATTCCCGGAATTAATAATGTATTATAAATCATAAGGTATATAAATGTGTTTTGTTTCAGGGTCAAACTATAGATGATATTCCCAATTCCGTTCTTGATGATGCATGTCAACTAGTTAAGGCTAACTCCATTATGGGCAATAAAATGAATGACATAGATATTGTGTACACAATGTGGTCAAATTTGAAGAAAACCCCTAGCATGGAGGTAAGATATTAGGTTGTGAGGATCTTATACCACATTTACTGTGGAAAGTGTTGTTTGGATGAATACCTGAAGCGGAGTTTCATCATCGGATGTCAAGGTAGATAGACTACAAAATTCCACCTGTATCACCTTGACGTCTGTAGTTACACTACTGAGCACTTTTAAGGCAATTATTATGACGCACCACCACTAAGTGGAATCAGCTATCTACTGAAGTATTTCTGAACCAATTTGACTAAGGGTCCTCCAAGCACACCAATTCTTGAAAGGCTGGCTCCGCACTCGTGAGACTACTGGCAATGTCCATGGGCATATCACTTAACATCAGGTGAGCCTCCAAACCATTTGCCCCGTCATTTTTGATTTGATAAACATTAAGAAAATATCCTTGTGTCAATTTTAATAAAATATTTTATTTTATGCAAGCATTTTTTTATGGTTATCTTTTTAGAAACATTTGTATATTAGCTTGTTTTTGATACAATTTCATTATTTCTAATAATCAAATCCTAATTTTATTTAGGTAGGCCAAGTTGCATTTCATAAAGATAGAGATGTAAGAAAAGTTAGAGTGGCTAAAAGATGTAATGATATAATTAATAGACTTAACAAGACTAAGAAAGAAGCGTTTCCTGACCTTAGACAAGAAAGAGAAACAAGAGATAGATCAGAGAGAGAAGACAAAAAGAAAGTTTTGAGAGAAAAGAAAGAAAAGGAAAAAGAAGAAGAAAAGCGGAAGAAAGATGAAGCAGAGCTCAAAAGTTACTCTACATTAATGAAACCTGAAAATATGACAACAAATTATGATGGCAATGATTCTGATGACTTTATGTAGTACTTTCTTACTTACTCTCCTGATTCTTGACTTTAATGCTATTAAGTTATTGTTAACTGAAATACTTTCGTTTCCATCTCAGTTTTTGTGCATCCGTTGTTTGCAGTTGGGTGTGTCAACTTTGGATTTATTTATAAGCTTTGTCATTGTTGAGATGGGGCTGCAATACTCGGACATCGAATAAAGCCTACTATTTTTATTAAACCCATTAAATTTAAGTAATTTAATTTAAAAAGAAATACAATACATTTTGTATTCGAAGAAATGAGGCTCAATATGAGCAAATAATTTTAGGCCAATTATGTTTTATCCAAAATACTTTTAGAATTGATAGTTTTCTTTTCATTTTATTTACAATATTTTTGTAAAAGATCCTTACAATTGCCTATATCAATGGAAGCTATTAAAGTTCAGGTGTTATTTTTTCGTGTTTTATTTGGTTCAATTCCCGAGTATGATAGTGAAGGAAAAATATATACAAGAACCGATTTAGAGCGAGTACAGATTCTGCGCTTGGCGCTGCGTTTGACCTCAAAGATTGCCGAAATAATTTGCTCTTGCACGTCTGAGGACATCTTGATACGTCACAAAAATTATGTCACCGCTTGACTGGATTGCACCGCTCGTTACCCGCCCCTACTCCGCTGTTTTCGAGAACCGGTCCATTTGATTTTACGCATAAGATCCCGCCGCTCCCGCGCCGCCGCCACCGCCGCCCCGCTGCCCGCAAAATTCGAGGCAGCAGCCTAAGGCGTAAGCGCGTATGCTGAAACGACCGTATATCTACGCGCAAAAAAAATACGCTAGTCGGAAAACCGCTCTAAACGCTAGCTTGGCTCTTTGGATGTGTACACTACAATCAGACGTAGTTCTTACAACGCGCGTTACCAAAGCGCGCGCTTCAAAACGCCTAATGTTTACTCCCTCTTAATGCAGTTTTTGTTTCCAGTTGAATATAAAAAATGATTTCTTTGAGTACGCTGATTCCATTGTCTTCCATCTAGCTGGTATTAAAAATTCTATTCTATAGGTATAGTACATAATTCATGCTAAAAAAAATAATCTATTAATAAAAAATAGATTTTTTATGCAGAATGTCACATCCCTACTCTATCCCTTTTCTTCGACAAAAACGCTGCGGCCACGCTTACGTAGCTTCTCGTATGTTTAAGACTACAGATTAGGTAAGACGTATAGCTTCGCTGTGGTCTTCGCATTTATGAAGCCTGACACTTGACATTGATAAAGGCTTAGGCTTACACATATAATATTTTATCTATATTCTACCAGACTAGTATTGTATGGGGAAGGAACCTTTAACAAATAGAGGTTTATAAACCATGATTTTTAATTTTTAGGACTAATGTAGAAGTTATAAAATTATGCAATTGTGCTACATTATTATTTTTATTGATTGTGTAATTTTTAATTAACATATAGAAGTTTTGGAAGTTTATTCGAACAAATGACAAATTAGTTTTTATGAAAACCATTCATCAAGAAATAGATGATTATGGTAAGTTATACAAGATAGTTCTTATTATAACTTTTGTAGTAAAACATTTACAATTTTTAAAAAAATATTTTTATGTATTATTTATTAAGAACGACATTTTAACTATATCTTATTACGCAATTTTAGCCTGTTACTTTAACACGTGGTACATAGTTTTTACGTTTCATTAATCGAGGTTCGATTCCAAGTCTTACATATTTTTTAAACATTATACTTTTTCTAAAAAGTATGATTGTTTTTTAGTATTTGGTTTTATAATTTATATTTATTGTAAATTTTTCAGGTTTCTAAATGTCAATTTTGTGAGAGAAAAATAATTTAAAATGAGTTCTAAAAACATGAAAAAACGAAAAGCAAATCCAATATCAGATAATGAGACTCCTGAGGTGTTAGTATTACCACCAAAAGCTTTATTGGATAAATTTGGTATTTCTCTTGGAGACATAGGCAATTTTCTGGATGTTAAGAAATCATATTCCGATGGTAGGTTTTTTTTTTTTTTTTTATGCATGTATCTTTTCATCTCTTTTGTCCAATCCTTATGGTATGCATAGATTTATGTTTTACTTAAGTCACATCGTATAACAAAAAGTTTTCATCAAATTTAAAAGCTAATATATTCTCTGAGCTATATAGATCTTAATCTTAATCTGAACTACTTCCTTCAGAAGGAGCCCTGGAATGCTGATTTGTATATGTTGCTCTTTAAAACTATTGCAGGTGGACCATCAAACCATGTAGTTAAATTATATGGAAATAGTGTCACCTCAAATACATCGTTGGTTGCACCAAATTTAAATTTAAATGACAGTTCTATTATGAAAACTGCAAGTTTAATGAAAAAGTCTCTATTTTTAAGCCCAACCTTCTCAAATTCAAATTCAATAGATTCTCAAGTTGAAGATGTACCATCAATTGCTTCATCTAATTTGGAGATAAACAGCTCTGACCATCGAAATAAGAATGTGTTAAAAATGTCTACACCTCAATTAGATTCAGAATTACTTTCTGCAAATAAAAGTAATGCTAAAAATCAAGACCCAAAACCATTGCAAGATAATAATGTAAAAAATGAAATTCATACAAAATTCATGAAAAATACAAACCATAGTGTAAGGGAAATATCACCAAATGGAATTGCTCTTGACAAATCTAACAATTTGACTATTATTGATTTAGAGGTTGCAAGTTTTGTACCAGTTACAAATGAATCTCTGACAATAAATAATAGGACACTTAATTTTACTAATGGGCAAGATAATGTACAGATTGAATCTTTAAAAAAAGATGATGAAGAAAATGTAAAAAGTAATGTAAGTTTAGAAGATAATGAGATTTCCACTCAAGAAACTTTATTGACTACTGAACATCATAGAAAATGTCCTAAAAGACTTGATATAACAGAAATGTTTTTTTGTAATCATGAAACAAGTCCTCAGGATAAAAAAATAATTGAAGATAGTGAAAAAGATATTTTAAAAAGTCAATTTACTCCAATAGCAGATTCCCATCAAAAGAATGAAATAGTTATTAATATAGACAAACAAAAATGCAGTGTTGGACAAATTTTACATATTAATGATTCTGTAACTAAAGTAGCAATGGTTCTGCAAGAGTATTTACAAAATAACAAAGATGTGACAGTTAAGCATACTTTACAATTTACATCTCATATTCAAGGTGTCGAAAAGCCTGGAGGAGACAAAGAATATAATTTTTTAAAACTTAAAAGAGAAAAGAGTCCTAAATTTTATACTATTAAAGCTAGAAAAACAGTCCGTAAAGAAATTGTTACAGAGATTGTTGAACAAATTATAACAGATTGTAACATAAATCTCATAGATGAAGACGAAGTGAATGAAGTAAAGATTTTTTGTGTTTGTTCCGATTTTGGTTCCTTTAACTACTATGATGAAGAACTAGAACATATACATTTTTGGGAACAAAAGAGTAGTAAATGTTCGTTGGATGTTATTTTCGGTATTTATTGTGATGATGATACTAATATTATAAATAATCAAAATTTATATAAAGAATGTGTAAATGATAAGAGTGAGTGTGATTACATTTGTGTAAATGAAGAAATAGAATTCAAATCAAATGATATTGATGAGAGCCAAAATATATTGGAACCAACTTTGATTGAAATTGAAGTACCTATTTATTATGATAGTCAAATGACAAAAGAAATTAACAATACAGTTAACAATGTAAGTATTAAGTAAGTAAAATATTAGTCCAGAGGAAATAGCAATTTTTCGTTTTGTGGAGGTGTTAAGAGAGCAGTAAGTAGTTTAGCTAGTTAGAGTAAGCTGAACTTATCCACTGATTGTGTGTTAACCAATAATTAATTGGTTTAAATTAATGTATTTTACATGCAAATACAGTAACTATTTAAAAAACATAACAAAGCACAGGACAAGAGCTATTAAAAGAGAAAAATATCAATTTCTATTACTTAATTCAGAATGAGCAGAGATTGAATAGAAAATAACTCAAATTTTATGGAATGTTACATTATATGTGAAAATTACTTAAATTTATGCATACAATAGGGTTAATACATTTTGTGAGTGTGACATTATTATTATTTTTTTAGACTTCAGACGAAAACAAGAATTGTGAATTACAAGTTAATATATCTTCGAAAATGCAGGATATGGCTGAGATTGTATCACCAGAGGCCACTCGAAAACAGAAAAAAAGAGTATGTCATTATTATATATATTTATTTTCATTTTGTATATATTCTACAATTTCATAAAAATGAATCTACGACTATTTTACACTTAAATCAGTGCTTTTTCAAATGGCAATATAAAGTCGCCTTCATAGTCTAGAAAAAATAGCAATATTTCTATATAAATATGCTGTACAATATAATGGGGGAATGATATCTGGCACTCTTTACACATACACTTCAGTGCTTATCGTTGAATGTTCCATAAATGTGGATTCACTGGGAACTATTTTGGCTCAACATTGAATGAACTAAGTGGTATCATGTAGTAGTAGTTATTAATTTTTAAAGCGTGTTTGGAGTCTTTCTTGGTTCCTGACAAAAGTATTTTGTGACTCAACCTGCGATATGAGCTGTAGTCACGTGATCATTTCCATACAAGTTCGACTGGCACAAAGTATGTTTGGGCTCCTGTGTTATGCTTCTGGGTGGCCAAGATTCGAAAAAATTAAACATATTCATATAAGTAATCAACATATAAATATATTCAGAGAGAGAAAATAATTCTAAAATGTTATTTTATATGTTCCAGAAAACTGGGCGAGATGGTTCCGAAGGTAGTTCAAAAAACAAAAGGGCAAGAAATGCTGTTGTGCATCAAGAAACTGATTCTAATAATGGTTCTGAAAAATCAAGTCCTGATGCTAGCTTGCCTAAAGTAAGTTATATTTTTTGCCTTTTTAACTAGTCCCAAAGTTAATTAGTTTCGAGGTGCTGGATAGGTCTTTTTAATATCTGTAATTA